GAGCGGTGACTTGTTTTGAACTGTGAGTAACCATGTAATACTTTTTCAAATCAGTAGATGGCAGCAGATAGCTAAGTACTTTGAAACTGAAAAATTGGATGCGACCACTGGCTGTAACAGGTCAGCATTGTGGCGAGAAAGGTAAAATTGGATGCGACCAACAAATGTGGGAGGGAGCGAGACAAGAGCTTTGTGGCGAGTGAGAAGTGAAAGTGATAGAGACGTTTTTGAAAATGAATTATGCCGTTTCTGAACAGGATTAACATCCTCCGCTCTGCCCCGGGGCAGCTGTGGCCGCGTTGTAGTGGTTTAACTATGAAATGTACAATTTTTGTACAACAGCTCTCGCGAACGCACTTCTGAACTGGGTACCGAGCGCAGACCATAGTCGAGTGGACAGAACCACAGACATGCGGACCGGACAGAACCATGGACTCGCGTTCAGGACCTCCCGTGTCCCTCATCCAAAACTCCTGAATTTAAAGCTCGGATACCTAAATTTTTCCCATGCACTAACAATGCATGTTCTTTTTGTGAGTTATTATTTGACTATTTGGGCAGAGAGTGGATTTTCTTAGTTTTTTTCCACACAGTTAGTGCCACTTTATTCCCAAACTCTTGTTAATTGTATCGAGAAATATTAAATAAAGCTTAATGTCAAGGCCTGGACTTAAGCATTTTGATGAGAATAACTGTATATTGTGAATATAGGCTACAGAGTATATTGTATACATTATAAGATAAGATAAGATATACTTTATATATCACACAGAGTATGTACAGTATATATTTTTTTACCTTAGTACTGTATACATTTTTACATTTTCTCCTGGAGGTGTGCCGCAAGATTTTTTCAGTGAAAAAAGTGTGCCTTGGCTCAAAAAAGGTTGAAAAACACTGCTCTACCCTACCCTACCCTACTCTACTCTACCCTACTCTACTCTACTCTACTCTACTCTACTCTACTCTACTCTACCCTACCCTACTCTGCTCTACCCTACCCTACTCTACTCTACTCTACCCTACCCTACTCTATTCTACCCTACCCTACTCTACTGTACTCTACCCTACCCTACTCTATTCTACCCTACCCTACTCCACTCTACTCTACCCTACCCTACTCTACTCTACCCTACCCTACTCTACTCTACCCTACTCTACTCTACCCTACCCTACCCTACTCTACCCTACCCTACCCTACTCTTCTCTACCCTACCCTACCCTACTCTACTCTACCATACCTTACTCTACTCTACTCTACTCTACTCTACTCTACCTTACCCTATCCTACTCTACTCTACTCTACTCTACCCTACCCTACTCTACTCTATTCAACTCAACCCTACCCTACCCTACCCTACTCTACCCTACTCTACCCTTCTCTACTCTACCCTACCCTACTCTACTCTACCCTACCCTACTCTACTCTACTCTACTCTACTCTACTCTACCCTACCCTACTCTACTCTACTCTACGTTACCCTACCCTACCCTACTCCACTCTACTCTATTCAACTCTACCCTACTCTACCTTACCCTACCCTACTGTACTCTACTCTACCCTACTCTACCCTTCTCTACTCTACTCTACCTTACCCTACTCTACTCTACCCTACTCTGCTCTGCTCTACCCTACCCTTCTCTACTCTACCCTACTCTATCCTACCCTACCCTACCCTACTCTACTCTACTCTACTCTACCCTACCCTACTCTACTCTACCCTACTCTACTCTACCCTACTCTGCTCTGCTCTACCCTACCCTTCTCTACTCTACCCTACCCTACTCTACTCTACTCTACTCTACTCTACCCTACCCTACTCTACTCTACCCTTCCATTACTCTACTCTACTCTACCCTACTCTACTCTACCCTACTCTGCTCTGCTCTACCCTACCCTTCTCTACTCTACCCTACTCTGCTCTGCTCTACCCTACCCTACTCTACTCTACTCTACTCTATTCAACTCTACCCTACCCTACCCTACCCTATCCTACTCTACCCTTCTCTACTCTACTCTACCCTACTCTACTCTACCCTACCCTACTCTACTCTACTCTACTCTACCCTACCCTACTCTACTCAACTCTACCTTACCCTACCCTACTCCACTCTACTCTATTCAACTCTACCCTACCCTACCTTACCCTACCCTACTCTACTCTACCCTACTCTACCCTTCTCTACTCTACTCTACCCTACCCTACTCTACTCTACCCTACTCTGCTCTGCTCTACCCTACCCTACTCTACTCTACCCTACTCTACCCTACCCTACCCTACTCTACTCTACTCTACCCTACCCTACTCTACTCTACCCTACTCTACTCTACCCTACCTTACTCTACTCTACTCTACCCTACTCTGCTCTACCCTACCCTTCTCTACTCTACCCTACCCTACCCTACTCTACCCTACCCTACTCTACTCTATCCTATTCTGCTCTGCTCTACCCTACCCTTCTCTACTCTACCCTACTCTACCCTACCCTACTCTACTCTACTCTACTCTACCCTACTCTACCCTACCCTACTCTACCCTACCCTACTCTACTCCACCCTACCCTACCCTACTCTACTCTACTCTACTTTACCCTACTCTACTCTACTCTACCCTACTCTACTCTCCCCTGTTTAGGAGTGTTTCCTATGGTCCAGTTAAACCAGTACCAGTTCCTCCTCTAGTCCCTGGTCCTGGTCCTTGTCTTGGTCCTAGTTCTAGTCCTGGTCCTGGTCCAGAGCTGGTGCTAAAGTCTTATATCAGTGATTTCTCTGGTTTTTATCAGATGAAGTTTTGCAGAATCTGGAGCTGCAGCGACGCAGGAATATTCTCTTAACTCCAGCTTTTTTTCTAATTAAAGTCCACCGGCCGCGGATCGATCCCGCTGCCCTCCGACACTTTATCTTGTTTACTAACTTATTGGCGGGTCTGATTTATCGCCCGCAATCCTGAGTCTGAGAGAGCGGCGGGTTGGGCGCGGTGGGCTCATCACAACATTCATTAAGTTGAAAGACAGTGAACTCTGAGGTTTTCAGCCTCACGGTGGAATCAATACCAGAGTGACCCGGGCGCCAGGTCCAAAACAAGGACAGGGCGACTTCTTACAAACACAATTACACACTGAACAGTACCAGAACAGAGAGAGAGACCAGAGAGAGAGAGAGACCAGAGAAAGAGCTGGGAGAGAGAGTCGACAGAGAGAGAGAGCAGGGAGAGGACAGAGAGAGAGACCAGAGAGAGCTGTGAGAGAGAGGACAGAGAGAGAGAGCAGGCAGAGACTAGAGGGAGAGAGACTAGAGAGAGAGCAGAGAGAGAGAGAGCAGGTAGAGAGAGAGAGACCAGAGAGAGAGGACAGAGAGAGAGACCAGAGAGAGAGAGAGAGACCAGAGAGAGAGCTGGGAGAGAGAGAGGACAGAGAGACAGAGCAGAAAGAGACTAGAGGGAGAGAGACTAGAGAGAGAGAGAGCAGAGAGAGAGAGAGCAGGGAGAGAGAGAGAGAGACCAGAGAGAGACAGACCAGAGAGAGAGAGACCTGAGAGAAAGAGAGATCAGAGAGAGAGACCAGAGAGAGAGCAGGGAGAGACCAGAGAGACCAGGAAGAGAGCAGGGAGAGACCAGAGAGAGAGGACAGAGAGACCAAAGAGAGAGACCAGAGAGAGACCAGAGAGAGACCAGGGAGAGACCAGAGAGAGGGACCAGGGAGAGACCAGAGAGAGACCAGGGAGAGACCAGAGAGAGACCAGAGAGAGACCAGGGAGAGACCAGAGAGAGGGACCAGGGAGAGACCAGAGAGAGAGACCAGGGAGAGACCAGAGAGAGACCAGAGAGAGAAGAGAGAGAAACCAAGGAGAGACCAGGGAGAGACCAGAGAGAGAGACCAGAGAGAGACCAGGATATGGTGCTGCTGCTGTTATTGTGCTGTTGAGATCAATAGAAGGTCTTTTCTATCCACGACCTGTGATCTTTAAATTGTTTTGTTGTTTGACGTTGGTGGATTTTAAACTGGGGAGAAATGTTCCTCGATAAACTGGGTCACACGTTTCTTTAGCCCAAACTAATTAACTGCTAATTTGTGAATAATTTATGTTTAATTTTCTCTTAATTGGTGTTTATTAAGCACTTTTTAGTCCTTATTAAACATTTAACAAACTGCTGCGACCAGAGAGAGACCAGAGAGAGACCAGCGAGAGATCAGAGAGAGACCAGAGAGAGAGACCAGAGAGAGACCAGCGAGAGATCAGAGAGAGACCAGAGAGAGAGACCAGAGAGAGACCAGAGAGAGACTGGAGAGAGACTGGAGAGAGAGACCAGAGAGAGACCAGAGAGAGACCAGAGAGAGAGACCAGAGAGAGACCAGAGAGAGACCAGAGAGAGAGACCAGAGAGAGACTGGAGAGAGAGACCAGAGAGAGACCAGAGAGAGAGACCAGAGAGAGACCAGAGAGAGAGACCAGAGAGACACCAGAGAGAGACACCAGAGAGAGAGACCAGAGAGAGACCAGAGAGAGACCAGAGAGAGACCAGAGAGAGACCAGAGAGAGACCAGAGAGAGACCAGAGAGAGACCAGAGAGAGAGACCAGAGAGAGAGACCAGAGAGAGACCAGAGAGAGACCAGAGAGAGACCAGAGAGAGACCAGAGATAGAACAGAGAGAGACCAGAGAGAGAGACCAGAGAGAGACCAGAGAGAGAGACCAGAGAGAGAGACCATGAAAACCAATTGTATTCTCTCTAAATCTCACACACCAGTATCTCTGACCACACAGCACAGTTTAAATATGAATTCTTATCGTTTTTAGACCGTTTCTATCTTTTAGTCCTCACTTCCCGTGTCTTTAAACCCCAAACGGCAAAACACTTCCACAACCTGCAGAACCAGAGCGAGAAAAGTGCTCCTCGGAACAATACTCGCTCTAAAAAGAATCTTCTGGAGAATCACGGGCTGCGATTAAAGCCATCATCATTTTCCACTTCTCTCTGACAGATCCTTTGTGTTTCTGCAGAGGGCCGTACGAGCAGGACGTGGAGGACGGGTACTACCAGCACCCAGACACCTGCCACGGTGAGGACCAGGACTGAGGCTGTAGACCAGGACTGAGGCTGTAGACCAGGACTGAGGCTGTAGACCAGGACTGAGGCTGTAGACCAGGACTGAGGCTGTAGACCCAGGACTGAGGCTGTAGACCCAGGACTGAGGCTGTAGACCCGGGACTGAGGCTGTAGATCCAGGACTGAGACTGTAGACCCAGGACTGAGGCTGTAGATCCAGGACTGAGGCTGTAGACCCAGGACTGAGGCTGTAGATCCAGGACTGAGGCTGTAGACCCAGGACTGAGGCTGTAGACCCAGGACTGAGGCTGTAGACCACCAGGACTGAGGCTGTAGACCAGGACTGAGGCTGTAGACCCAGGACTGAGGCTGTAGACCCAGGATTGAGGCTGTAGACCCAGGACTGATGCTGTAGATCCAGGACTGAGGCTGTAGACCCAGGACTGAGGCTGTAGACCCAGGACTGAGGCTGTAGATCCAGGATTGAGGCTGTAGACCCAGGACTGAGAATGTAGACCCAGGACTGAGGCTGTAGACCACCAGGACTGAGGCTGTAGACCAGGACTGAGGCTGTAGACCCAGGACTGAGGCTGTAGACCCAGGACTGAGGCTGTAGACCCAGGGCTGAGGCTGTAGACCCAGGACTGAGGCTGTAGATCCAGGACTGAGGCTGTAGACCCAGGACTGAGGCTGTAGACCCAGGACTGAGGCTGTAGACCACCAGGACTGATGCTGTAGACCAGGACTGAGGCTGTAGACCCAGGATTGAGGCTTTAGACCCAGGACTGAGGCTGTAGATAGGACTGAGGCTGTAGAGCACCAGGACTGAGGCTGTAGACCAGGACTGAGGCTGTAGACCCAGGACTGAGGCTGTAGACCCAGGACTGAGGCTGTAGACCCAGGGCTGAGGCTGTAGACCCAGGACTGAGGCTGTAGATCCAGGACTGAGGCTGTAGACCCAGGACTGAGGCTGTAGACCAGGACTGAGGCTGTAGACCCAGGATTGAGGCTGTAGACCCAGGACTGATGCTGTAGACCCAGGACTGATGCTGTAGATAGGACTGAGGCTGTAGACCCAGGGCTGAGGCTGTAGACCCAGGACTGAGGCTGTAGACAGTTATCGCCCCCTGGTGGCCCACTCACCTTCTTCTTCTTTCATAATTAAACTTGTAATGTACTTTTAATGAGGGTTTCTCTCTTTGCAGACGTGCTGGCCACCACTCGCCGACAGAACACAGCCGCAGACTTGGCATATGGTCAGTGCAGACGTCCTTTTCAATTACTATCAGTATGAAGGTGTTTAGGAGAGAAACCCTGACTGTTCAGTAGAGCGTGGTCTTTGGAGGAACCGTATTTTAAAGCTGTTTCGTGTTAAAATGCTGGATTTGTTCTCATTACATTTATTTAAAAATGTATTATTTATGAAAAAGGTTGCCCCAGCTTTAAAGAAAGAGGTTTAAAGCTCTTTTTCCACCAGCCCTCTACTCTGGTCTCTCTCTCTGGTCTCTCTCTGGTCTCTCTCTGGTCTCTCTCTGGTCTCTCTCTCTGGTCCCTCTCTCTGGTCTCTCTCTGGTCTCTCTCTGGTCTCTCTCTGGTCTCTTTCTGGTCTCTCTCTCTGGTCTCTCTCTGGTCTCTTTCTGGTCTCTCTCTGGTCTCTCTCTGGTCTCTCTCTGGTCTCTCTCTGGTCTCTCTCTGGCCTCTCTCTGGCCTCTCTCTGGCCTCTCTCTGGTCTCTCTCTGGTCTGTCTCTGGTCTCTCTCTAGTCTATCTCTGGTCTCTCTCTGGTCTCTCTCTGGTCTGTCTCTGGTCTCTCTCTAGTCTATCTCTGGTCTCTCTCTGGTCTCTCTCTGGTCTCTCTCTGGTCTCTCTCTGGTCTCTCACTGGTCTCTCTCTGGTCTCTCTCTGGTCTCTCTCTGGTCTCTCTCTGGTCTCTCTCTGGTCTCTTACTGGTATCACCCATGTCCTTAAACCATAAACCTGCTTCCTATGTTTCCAGTGAAGTGGTGCAGATAAGATCAGGTATTCACTGATGACCATGTGTTTCTGATCTAGTATTTATCTTGTACAGTTTGTCTCTTCTTGGTAGGGCTGCACAATAATTTGAAAAAATATTGTTATCGCAATACTGGTGCGTGCAATATCCATATCCAAAAGATGAACAATACAAAAAAATCAACAACATTCAACAAGAACAACAAACAAACAAAGTATATAAATATGTGAAGAGTCACAATCACAGCGTAGCATCCTGCGTGGAGTAAACAATAATGACGGCGCCCTGGGGCTAGCGTCCTGAGGCTAGTGTCCTGTGGCTGGCGTCCTGGGGCTGGCGTCCTGTGGCTGGCGTCCTGGGGCTGGCGTCCTGGGGCTGGCGTCCTGGGGCTGGCGTCCTGGGGCTGGCGTCCTGGGGCTGGCGTCCTGGGGCTGGCGCCCTGGGGCTGGCGTCTTGGGGCTGGCGTCCTGGGGCTGGCGTCCTGGGGCTGGCGTCCTGGGGCTGGCGTCCTGGGGCTGGCGTCTTGGGGCTGGCGTCCTGGGGCTGGCGTCCTGGGGCTGGCGTCTTGGGGCTGGCGTCCTGGGGCTAGCGTCCTGGAGCTAGTGTCCTGGGGCTAGCGTCCTAGGGCTGGCGCCCTGGGGCTGGCGTCCTGGGGCTGGCGTCCTGTGGCTGGCGTCCTGGGGCTGGCGTCCTGGGGCTGGCGTCCTGGGGCTGGCGTCCTGGGGCTGGCGTCTTGGGGCTGGCGTCCTGGGGCTGGCGTCCTGTGGCTGGCGCCCTGGGGCTAGCGTCCTGGGGCTAGTGTCCTGGGGCTAGCGTCCTAGGGCTGGCGTCCTGTGGCTGGCGTCCTGTGGCTGGCGTCCTGGGGCTGGCGTCCTGTGGCTGGCGTCCTGGGGCTGGCGTCTTGGGGCTGGCGTCCTGGGGCTGGCGTCCTGGGGCTGGCGTCCTGGGGCTGGCGTCTTGGGGCTGGCGTCCTGGGGCTGGCGTCCTGTGGCTGGCGTCCTGTGGCTGGCGTCCTGGGGCTAGCGTCCTAGGGCTGTCGTCCTGGGGCTGGCGTCCTGGGGCTGGCGTCCTGGGGCTGGCGTCCTGGGGCTGGCGTCCTGTGGCTGGCGTCCTCGGGCTGGCGTCCTGGGGCTGGCGTCCTGGGGCTGGCGTCCTGTGGCTGGCGTCCTCGGGCTAGCGTCCTGGGGCTAGCGTCCTGGGGCTAGCGTCCTGGGGCTAGCGTCCTGGGGCTAGCCTCCTGCAAAATAAAACAGGCTGTATCTATAAATGTGGTGCAGAATCTTTTCCTACTCTTCAGCAGGAGCAAGCGGACATGTGTGTCTTTTATATGAACGATATTTGGGGGTGTGGTTATATGAAAAGTTTTAGGGTAAAAGGAGTTTGTGAAACGCCTGCGGCTCAGCGGAGGCGAGTAGTAGTAGCAGTAGAGCCAGAGGGGGCGGGTCCGGGCTCAAAAATGTCCAAAATGACGTGCGTTGACATGCTGCAGTACCACCCCTGGCCTGTGGGGGTGAACCCGGAATAAGAATTAGCCAATGCGAACATATAGCATCTTCTTACCTCTCGAAAACGTCTTTACAGGATGGTCCAAAAGTGGCTCTTGGCCCAAAGCTCCGTTCCACATGTGTGTCAATGCTGAGGGGAGTGTTCTGGACCAGTCTGGTTTAGTCGCTGTGGACTTTTGAAGACACTTGTTAAATGAATGGGGCTTGTGGCGGCACGGTGGCTGAGTGGATAGCACTCTCGCCTCTCAGCAAGAAGGTCCTGGGTTCGAATCCCGGCTGGACCAGGGCCTTTCTGAGTGGAGTTTGCATGTTCTCCCCGTGTCTGCGTAGGTTTCCTCCGGGTACTCCGGTTTCCCCTACCACTAAAAATATGTACAATAGGTCTGGCATGCGCCTCCTGTACTGGCGACCCCGCTCCCATCTCTGTGTGGAGTGAGAGGACAAGTGCCCAAAAAATAACAATTGTAAACCGCTTTGTGACTCTGGTCTGTGAAAGGCGGTATATAAATAAAGCTTACTTACTTACTTACTTACTTACTTACTTGTGCAGCTGACATATGCACAGATGTGTTTTTTCACATTTTCCAGCCCCCGCGGCCATTTTGGAACTGCCCATAGACCGTGGAAGTTGTGGCACATTAGTTAGAACGGCGGAGATAGGCGTGACTACGTCTGTTAATTTTTACAGTCTGAGCTGAGCGGAGCCAGAGCTTTTCTTTATTTAGTTTAGTTTGTTTACCATTGACAAAGTACTTCTACTATGGCGCCAGATTTACGCCAAAAGTCCACACGCGCAAATAATACATACACGCGCAGCTTTATTTAATTCACACGCGCGCAAACCACTCTCCACGCGCACATTTCACCCCACACACGCGCAGATTCAGTACCACGAGCAACAATACACGCGTGTGTGCGTTCGTGACATGCCTTCTCCCTGCTCGTGTTCTGCGCGCGTTGAAAACTTTTGCCATCTCTTCTACGCGCGCGTGAAATATACTTTTGTCGCTTGGGGGCGGGGCCACTGCTTTCCAGGAATTCCCGCGGTTAGAAGATTTGGTTCAGAAGACGAATACTTGGTGAGCGTTTTATATTTATTTGATATATAAACATATTACAATATAGGCTACGTCCTTTATTTCAGTAGTTTTCTACTAAATTTCAGTAAAAAATGAAAAGAACTTAGTTACTATCAATTAATTAATTAAAATGATGGACATGGGCAAACAAGATTGGGACACCGGCGCGATGTTAGCTATGGAAAGACAGTTTAAAAAAAAAAAACATTTGTATGACTATATTTTAGGTGGGAGGTAGTTTTGTACGTTTGCTGTTTGTAGAAGAAACTAAGGTGAGCGGCAGGTCATATTGGGGCAAAACAAATTGTGTCACTTTGGTGCTAGTTTGAAGTTTGCCTAAAAGAGTACCTCTGCTCAGTGTATACTTGCTATGATTACTTAAGTTGTCTCATATTAACATAAGTAATAATTTAATGAACAACTTTGACTTGTATTTGAGTGATGTTTGACCAGGACTCACTTTACTAAGTACAGTATTTCTACTGTATCCTCCATGATGATCCATGATTACTGAACAGGCATGTTAATGTTTATAATGTCATTGTAGCCTTAGTATGTATAAACATATGAATAAAGGACGTAGCCTACATTGTAATATGTTTATATATCAAATAAATATAAAACGCTCACCAAGTATTCGTCTTCTGAACCAAATCTTCTAACCGCGGGAATTCCTGGAAAGCAGTGGCCCCGCCCCCAAGCGACAAAAGTATATTTCACGCGCGCGTAGAAGAGATGGCAAAAGTTTTCAACGCGCGCAGAACACGAGCAGGGAGAAGGCATGTCACGAACGCACACACGCGTGTATTGTTGCTCGTGGTACTGAATCTGCGCGTGTGTGGGGTGAAATGTGCGCGTGGAGAGTGGTTTGCGCGCGTGTGAATTAAATAAAGCTGCGCGTGTATGTATTATTTGCGCGTGTGGACTTTTGGCGTAAATCTGGCGCCATATTCTACGGGCACTAACTGACTCAGATTTAGAGGAGGAAGACACGCGGGGGTCCGGTGAAGATGACACGTACATTATAAGTGACAGGAGTCCACAGTCAGCCACAGAACAGCGTCTGCTTCACCTCTGTGTGCCGCGGTGGAAGCCTTCTGAAAACGCCAGGCAGTGGACCAGGGGGGGGCATAACACCTACATGTGGGTGAAAGTATCAGGGATGGGAACGAAGGAAAAGCCCCAGGAAAAGAACACATGATGATGAGTGTAGTTGTTGAGAGTCGAGGAAGAGAATCAAAAGTGGATCAGTGTTGAAGAGTCTGTTTTTGTGGAGACGATCTGACGAGCTCTGAGCCCGTTCATTTATCTCTGTTTTTAAATGTTGAATTCTGGAGCCTCATTTCCACTGAAACAAACAGATATGCACTAGTTCTTTGAAAGGGACATGTTGACACAGATTTCACGACTAAACTGTGAGGAGGGCCCTGATCATTGGAGGTCTGGGATTCTTCTTCTTATTTTCTTACTTAAGAAAACACAGTGTTACTCAAATTGATCAAAATGGATTTATAGCGTTTTGGAACCAAACTCTTCAAATAAGATAAGATAAGATAAGAGTTCCTTTATTCGTCCCACTGTGGGGAAATTCCGCTGTTGCAGCGCACAGACAGGACAGTGGTCAGAGACACAGGGCTCACATGTTTCTAAACCATCTGAAAAGGCTTCGACATCAAATGCATTTGAATGTCATTAATGTTGTGCTTATTTGTTGTTATTTGTCTCTTGCGTTTCAAAACAGATACAATTTTAGGTAAAAGACAAAAATATTGCAATAATATCATTATCAAAATACTAAACACTCAAATCGAATATCGCTCTAATCTCCAATATCTCTAATCTCTAATATCTCTAATCTCTAATATATCTAATCTCCAATATCTCTAATGTCTAATATCTCTAATCTCCATTATATATCATCTCTAATATCTCTAATCTCCAATATTTCTAATGTCTAATATCTCTAATCTCCAATATCTCTAATGTCTAATATCTCTAATCTCCAATATCTCTAATCTCTAATATCTCTAATCTCCAATATTTCTAATGTCTAATATCTCTAATCTCCAATATCTCTAATATCTAATATATCTAATCTCTAATATCTCTAATTTCTCTAATATCTCTAATATCCAATATCTCTAATATCTCTAATCTCTGATATCTCTAATCTCCAATATCGTGCAGCTCTACTTCTTGGGGTAATTTATGGAAGTTTTTCCTGCTTCTTGTTCAGGACTCAATGCGACGAATAACGAAGGACACACTTCACCACAATCCTGCCTGGAGCTGGAGACTGACCAGGCCCCTGATCAGACCCCAGACCAGGCCCCAGACCAGACCCCAGATCAGGCCCCTGATCAGGCCCCAGACCAGGCCCCAGACCAGACCCCAGACAAGACCCCAGACCAGACCCCAGACCAGACCCCAGACCAGACCAAAGACCAGGCCCCAGACCAGGCCCCAGACCAGACCCCAGACCAGACCAAAGACCAGGCCCCAGACTAGACCCCAGACCAGACCCCAGACCAGACCAGACCCCAGACCAGACCAAAGACCAGGCCCCAGACCAGGCCCCAGACCAGACCAAAGACCAGACCAAAGACCAGACCCCAGACCAGACCCCAGACCAGACCAAGATTTTAGACTTGTATTCTCCTTTGTTTATGCCCAGTGCGTTCCTGGGAAGCAAATACGTCCTTAGTGCCAGAATTGACTAAAAACGACGCATGGTTTTATTCCTGGTTCGATCTGTTTCTTCGGTCTCGGAAAGTTTGGAGAATCTCCGAGCTCTCTCCAGCGGAATGCTCTGAGGTCGGTGTTTTCCATCTCGGAGCTCTCAGTCTGCTCCACTCTCTTTCATCTCGGCACCAAAGGACCCCCGCTCGACTTTCCGCGGAGTTTGGAGAGCCATTCTCTTTTTTTGACTGGACAAATTGGGACCTAAGGGACCTGATGGTGGAGGATTCAGAGCGTGATTAGTATGTGCGGTGGAACCATGATGGAGGGAGATAAGCCCGGCTCGCTGCCCTCCTCTGACTCGCTGTGAACGGCTGCGACGAGAAAAAGAACGAGATTCGAGGATTTAAAATCGGACGGTCTTTAAACACAAATGTGGGTCTCAAACTTTGGCGACAATTTCACTTTTACTGCAAAGTATAAAACTGAGAAAACTGTGTCCAAGATCTACAGGTAAACTCTGGATATCTCAGAATATCCTTCAAAAGTAGTAGCAGTAGTAGCAGTAGCAGTAGTAGCAGTAGCAGTAGTAGCAGTAGTAGAAGCAGTAGTAGCAGCAGTAGTAGCAGTAGAAGTAGCAGTAGTAGTAGCAGTAGCAGTAGTAGCAGTAGTAGAAGCAGAAGTAGTAGCAGTAGTAGTAGCAGCAGTAGCAGTAGTAGTAGTAGCAGTAGTAGCAGAAGTAGTAGCAGTAGTAGCAGTAGCAGTAGTAGTAGCAGTAGTAGTAGAAGTAGTAGCAGCAGTAGTAGCAGTAGTAGTAGCAGTAGTAGTAGCAGTAGCAGTAGTAGCAGTAGTAGAAGCAGAAGTAGTAGCAGCAGTAGTAGCAGTAGTAGTAGCAGTAGTAGTAGCAGTAGCAGTAGCAGTAGTAGCAGTAGTAGAAGCAGAAGTAGTAGCAGTAGTAGTAGCAGTAGTAGCAGTAGCAGTAGTAGCAGTAGTAGAAGCAGAAGTAGTAGCAGTAGTAGTAGCAGTAGTAGCAGTAGCAGTAGTAGTAGCAGTAGTAGTAGCAGCAGTAGTAGCAGTAGTAGTAGCAGTAGCAGTAGCAGTAGTAGAAGCAGAAGTAGTAGCAGCAGTAGTAGCAGTAGTAGTAGCAGTAGTAGTAGCAGTAGTAGTAGCAGTAGTAGCAGAAGTAGTAGCAGCAGTAGTAGCAGTAGTAGTAGCAGTAGTAGTAGCAGTAGCAGTAGCAGTAGTAGAAGCAGAAGTAGTAGCAGCAGTAGTAGCAGTAGTAGTAGCAGTAGTAGTAGCAGTAGTAGTAGCAGTAGTAGCAGTAGCAGTAGTAGTAGCAGTAGCAGTAGTAGCAGTAGTAGTAACAGTAGCAGTAGCAGTAGTAGTAGCAGTAGCAGTAGTAGCAGTAGTAGTAACAGTAGCAGTAGCAGTAGTAGTAGCAGTAGCAGTAGTAGCAGTAGTAGTTTTAGTCCAAGTATGAACATAAAACATTAAACAGGATTCAAAGTTAACAGCATGAAGACCAGACCCAGACTAGACCGAGACCAGACCCAGACCAGACCAGACCAGACTGTGACCCAGACCCCTTCCAATGGCCTCTAAATCATACTAATCCAGACTTGGACCTCTCTCAGTTCCAGTTGTTGTGGTGGGTCTGAAGGACCTGTGTTTTCGGAGCAGGTTCCTCCAAGATCCAAGACCGGCCTTTCCACAGAACCATCTCAGTCTGTGGAGCTCTCCGCAGCCGCACTCGCCCTGGACCCCTGCGGCTTCACCGACGGCGGCCGCTCCTCTTCTGTAGATTTACACTGTTCCTTTGTTTACAGACGAAGAACGAGACTTTAGCTAGACTTGTAGAGTCTGAAGCCAAATGGAGCGATGGTTACGAGGGCCTGGGGAGCAGCACTGCACCTCGAGCTCTGTGTGTGTTTGTGCGGCTAATGTCCAACAAGAACAAGGAGAGGGATCAGAGGGAGAGACAAGAGTGAGATCGGAGATCAGAGAGAGAGACCAGAGATCAGAGAGAGATCAGAGAGAGACCAGAGAGAGACCAGAGAGAGACCAGAGAAAGACCAGAGAGAGACTAGAGAGAGACTAGAGAGAGACCAGAGAGAGACTAGAGAGAGACTAGAGAGAGACTAGAGAGAGACCAGAGAGAGACCAGAGAGAGACTAGAGAGAGACTAGAGAGAGACCAGAGAGAGACTAGAGAGAGACCAGAGAGAGACTAGAGATCAGAGAGAGAGACCAGAGATCAGAGAGAGATCAGAGAGAGACCAGAGAGAGACCAGAGAGAGACTAGAGAGAGACTAGAGAGAGACTAGAGAGAGACTAGAGAGAGACTAGAGAGAGACCAGAGAGAGACCAGAGATCAGAGAGAGATCAGAGAGAGAGACCAGAGAGAGACTAGAGAGAGACCAGAGAGAGACCAGAGAGAGACCAGAGAGAGACTAGAGAGAGACCAGAGAGAGACTAGAGAGAGACTAGAGAGAGACTAGAGAGAGACTAGAGAGAGACTAGAGAGAGACTAGACAGAGACCAGAGAGAGACCAGAGATCAGAGAGAGATCAGAGAGAGAGACCAGAGAGAGACTAGAGAGAGACCAGAGAGAGACCAGAGAGAGACCAGAGAGAGACTAGAGAGAGACCAGAGAGAGACTAGAGAGAGACTAGAGAGAGACCAGAGAGAGACTAGAGAGAGACTAGAGAGAGACCAGAGAAAGACCAGAGAGAGACTGCTTTTGTTAGTGTGGCTGGCGTCCAACAAGCACAGGGTTTAGTGACAGACTCTGGTCCACAGAGGCCTGTGTTTTAGTGGTAACAGTTCTCAGTCTGTTGTCAGTGAGAAGTCCCGAGTTAGGATGGGACAGACTGAGGCTGTAGATCCAGGACTGAGGCTGTAGATCCAGGACTGAGGCTGTAGATCCAGGACTGAGGCTGTAGATCCAGGACTGAGGCTGTAGATCCAGGACTGAGGCTGTAGATCCAGGACTGAGGCTGTAGATCCAGGATTGAGGCTGTAGATCCAGGACTGAGGCTGTAGATCCAGGACTGAGGATGTAGACCCAGGACTGAGGCTGAGGCTGTAGACCCAGGACTGAGGCTGTAGAGCCAGGATTATAGTACGTCCTTCTGGGTCGGTCTCTCTCCTGGATCCGGTCGGAGCAGAGAGAGAGCTCGTCCAAAGTGCTACAGTGGTGTGGTGCTAGCGTAGCGATGCTAACACATTACTCTGATCCTGACGTCGCTTCAGTGTCAGCAGAGGAAGAAGACTACACGTGTTTTGGTTGAATACTAAATACTGACATCAAGGATTCCTTTTCATGGTTCAACGTGTTCGGAATAGTTTGACGCTGACCTGCGTTAACAGCACAAAAGTAAAAAAACGCTGCATATGCAGAAATAACAAAAATCACAAAAGAACCGATTCTGAACAATATTTGATCATGGATAAAAAAGAAATGAAATTAACAGGACAAAATCTGAGCATTTGTGAAATGTTTTAGACTTTTCAGGACTGAGGCTGTAGAACCAGGACCGAGGCTGTAGACCCAGGACTGAGACTGTAGACCCAGGACTGAAGAGGCTTTATAAACCTTCTCAAAGCGTGGAAAGAATGACGTTACATAATCTAAAACTTTCTAAAGAACTGAGGCGCTCTGAACCCGACGTGGATCTGGTTTTGGTCTCTTTTGTTTTCGTTCTAACCACATCCTTTAATGCAGCGACAGCACGAAGCTAAAGAACACAGAGAGTCTGAGTCACCGCCGTTGTTCCGTGTGTCGCACCATCGTCTTCATCATGTGGAACCAGATTTGCTGCTGTGATAGATGGTCCGAAGGGTTTCTCCAGCATCGGTGTTGGTTCAGAACGAGGTCCACGATAAGTCCCAGAGTCTGCTATAAATGTGTCTTACTGATCTCCACGGTGCAAACAAGACATACAAGAGACCAGAGAGAGACCAGAGAGAGACCAGAGAGAGACCAGAGAGACAGACCAGAGAGAGACCAGAGAGAGACCAGAGAGAGACCAGAGAGAGACCAGAGAGAGACCAGAGACAGACCAGAGAGAGACCAGAGAGAGACCAGAGAGAGACCAGAGAGAGACCAGAGAGGGACCAGAGAGAGACCAGAGCAGAGTTGGCCCTCCTGACCAGCTTGTTCAGTCTACTCCTGTCCCGCTCTGGGATTCCTGGCCCACAGCAGCGTAGTGTACGGCTGAAGAGTAGACTGGGACTGTGTGGATCTGAGGGGTTCTAGACCAGGGTTCTAGACCAGGGTCTTGGATCTACTTTTATCGACAGATTTGTTTTGTGTGGTATGGTTTCTTCTGTTGGTGTTGCCCAAATGTTTAAGAGTTTGTCTCTGATCTCTTGGCCTTTCTGTCTGTGCGATTGTGTTACTCTTCTTGTAGAAATCTAACTGGGATTATAAATAAATTTAACTTAAGAATGAATCTAATGATGAATTAGGATATCTGGGACTAAGTTCAAAGCTAGTCAATCTGTTCAAGCTAACTAAACTGTTGTTCTGTAGAGACGCAAGGCCAATGATGGGGTGGAGGCAGATACTAGCTTGATATCAGGGCAAGAGGAGCGTGCTCACCGGCCATACTGACCATTCTTCCTAATATCAGAGTAATATCAGAGTCTATCAGAGTAAGACGTCAGAGTAATATCAGAGTCTATCAGAGTAATATCAGAGTCTATCAGAGTAATATCAGAGTCTATCAGAGTAATATCAGAGTAATATCAGAGTCTATCAGAGTAATATCAGAGTCGATCAGAGTAATATCAGAGTCGATCAGAGTAATATCAGAGTCATATCAGAGTCTATCAGAGTAATATCAGAGTCTATCAGAGTAATATCAGAGTCTATCAGAGTAATATCAGAGTCTATCAGAGTAATATCAGAGTCTATCAGAGTAATATCAGAGTCGATCAGAGTAATATCAGAGTCTATCAGAGTAATATCAGAGTCTATCAGAGTAATATCAGAGTCTATCAGAGTAATATCAGAGTCTACCAGAGTAATATCAGAGTCTATCAGAGTAATATCAGAGTAATATCAGAGTAATATCAGAGTCTATCAGAGTAATATCAGAGTCAGAGTAATATCAGAGTAATATCAGAGTCTATCAGAGTATCAGAGTAATATCAGAGTCTATCAGAGTAATATCAGAGTAATATCAGAGTCTATCAGAGTAATATCAGAGTAATATCAGAGTCTATCAGAGTAATATCAGAGTAATATCAGAGTAATATCAGAGTCTATCAGAGTAATATCAGAGTCTATCAGAGTAATATCAGAGTAATATCAGAGTCTATCAGAGTCTATCAGAGTAATATCAGAGTCGATCAGAGTAATATCAGAGTAATATCAGAGTCTATCAGAGTAATATCAGAGTCTATCAGAGTAATATCAGTCTATCAGAGTAATATCAGAGTAATATCAGAGTCTATCCGAGTAATATCAGAGTCTGTCAGAGTAATATCAGAGTCTATCAGAGTAATATCAGAGTCGATCAGAGTAATATCAGAGTAATATCAGAGTCTATCAGAGTAATATCAGAGTAATATCAGAGTCTATCAGAGTAATATCAGAGTCTATCAGAGTAATATCAGAGTAATATCAGAGTCTATCAGAGTAATATCAGAGTCTATCAGAGTAATATCAGAGTCTATCAGAGTAATATCAGAGTAATATCAGAGTCTATCAGAGTAATATCAGAGTCTATCAGAGTAATATCAGAGTAATATCAGAGTCTATCAGAGTAATATCAGAGTAATATCAGAGTCTATCAGAGTAATATCAGAGTAATATCAAAGTAATATCAGAATAATATCAGAGTAAGACGTCAGGAGAGAGGGGGGTTTGGGCGACGGCTACCACTTAGGCAAGGCAAGTTTATTTATATAGCACAATTCATACTCAAGGCAATTCAAAGTGCTGAACAAAACAAGAAAGCATTAAAATAAATAATCACAGAACATTAAAAAGAAAGATAAAAATATAAAATCCCTCAGTTGTATGCACAGTTAAACAGAACTGTCTTTAACCTGGTTTTAAACATTGTCAGAGAGGAGGCCTGTCTCACATCTTCAGGAAGATTGTTCCAGATTTTAGCAGCATGAATCTGAAAAGCAGCCTCCCCATGTTTAGTTCTGACTCTGGGCACTAACAGGAGTCCAGTCCCTGTGCTCCTCAGAGTCCGGGCTGGTTCATATGGGACTAACATGTCACTAATATATTTTGGTGCGAGGCCATGGAGAGACTTGTACACAAGCAGAGCTGTTTTAATCTCGGACTCAGAGACGCCATAGACTCTTCTGTTTGTTCCATCCTATAAATATGAGAGAGACTATCTACTCGAGAGCTGCTCACGCGGTGACGGGAGTATTTCCTGTAGATGTACATTTACTGAGATCATAAACCACACTTTGATTGTTTACTCTGGGTTGTTTATTTTATATTTAATTATTGTGTATTTCAATCCTTAGAAATTCCACAACACTCTCTCCTCTCTCGGTCTCTGCCCTGCTTTCTGTTACCTTTGCTAACGTTAGCGGTTCTCTCTGTGACGTTCCCTTAGCTAACGTTAGCGGTTCTCTCTGTGACGTTGCTTTGCTAACGTTAGCGGTTCTCTCTGTAACGTTAACTTTTGCTGACGTTAGCGGTTCTCTCTGTGACGTTCCCTTAGCTAACGTTAGCGGTTCTCTCTGTGACGTTGCTTTGCTAACGTTAGCGGTTCTCTCTGTAACGTTAACTTTTGCTGACGTTAGCGGTTCTCTCTGTGACGTTCCCTTAGCTAACGTTAGCGGTTCTCTCTGTGACATTACCTTTGCTAACGTTAGCAGTTCTCTCTGTGACATTACCTTAGCTAACGTTAGCGGTTCTCTCTGTGACATTACCTTTGCTAACGTTAGCAGTTCTCTCTGTGACATTACCTTTGCTAACGTTAGCGGTTCTCTCTGTGACATTACCTTTGCTAACGTTAGCGGTTCTCTCTGTGACGTTCCCTTAGCTAACGTTAGCGGTTCTCTCTGTGACATTACCTTTGCTAACGTTAGCAGTTCTCTCTGTGACATTACCTTTGCTAACGTTAGCAGTTCTCTCTGTGACATTACCTTTGCTAACGTTAGCAGTTGTCTCTGTGACATTACCTTTGCTAACGGCGGCGGTTCTCTCTCCATCCAGGCTCACCTCATCTCTCCTCAATGTTCTTCATTTCACTAATCACTCACTCTGTGCCTCCCCCCTCCTCCCTCCTCCTCCCCCCTTCACCCCCACCGCAGGGGAGACCTCACCCACAATCGCCAGCACAACCAGTCAGGGGCCGGCTTCCCCCAGGGAGGCAGGTGACCCACTCAGAGGGACAGGTCCAGAAGGGCCCCAGGGGTCACCTGACTCGGAGCCAATCAGTGTGGAGATGGAGGGTAAGGGGGAGGGGCTTGTCCGTGGGGGTAATGCACCAAACCCCAATCGCATCACTGCACATGGCTAATATGCTAACGGCTAACCGTGCTAACATGTAATCTGGAATGCCCCTCACTCTGGTTCAACACGTTTGGTTTTCGACTTCAGTATTTCTAACACGAGGACTCCCACAACAGTCAATTTGACGGGTTTCAGTTTTGGAAGAGTAATTTTTGCTCTATTCCCTGTTATTTATTCAACAGTTTTGGCACTTATTAAAAGTGAGTAAAGGTAAATATCCAAAAAGGATATTGTCAGTATTCAATGGAAAATTTGCAGACACCAGAGAGAGACCAGAGAGAGACCAGAGAGAGACCAGAGAGAGACCAGAGAGAGACCAGAGAGAGACCAGAGAGAGACCAGAGATGGACCAGAGAGAGACCAGAGAGAGACCAGAGAGACCAGAGAGAGACCAGAGAGAGACCAGAGAGAGACCAGAGAGAGACCAGAGAGACACCAGAGAGAGACCAGAGATGGACCAGAGAGAGACCAGAGAGAGACCAGAGAGAGACCAGAGAGACACCGACACCAGATAGAGACCAGAGATAGAGACCAGAGATAGAGACCAGAGAGAGACCAGAGAGAGAGACCAGAGAGAGACCAGAGAGAGAGACCAGAGATGGACCAGAGATAGACCAGAGACAGTCCAGAGATAGACCAGAGATAGACCAGAGATAGTCCAGAGAGACACCAGAGATAGACCAGAGATAGACCAGAGATAGACCAGAGATAGACCAGAGAGAGACCAGAGAGAGACCAGAGAGAGAGACCAGAGAGAGAGACCAGAGATAGACCAGAGATAGAGACCAGAGACAGAGAGACCTTAAAGAAAGCTAACTGTCAGAATCACATTAAAAAAGCGTTGTAGACCAGGGTGTGAGTGGGATCAGTCAAAATGACGGTTCTGGGAGTCCTGGTGTCGAGTAATTATGTGTCATTATGAATGGTCAGATAAATGTGTTGTCCCAAGGTGAGCTGTGTATGAACCCACTAACTCCTAACCCTCACATTACCCATGTGACCCTCTGACCTGCTGCATGTGACATCACCCATGAACGTAGAGTTAAAGTTAGAGTTGTGTAGAATGATGGAATGAAGTGACGTGCATGAGACGGTTTCATCGAATGGAATGATTGATCTGCGACTCTCTACTCTGTGCACCAGAAACAAAAGACAGAAAAGTTTGGATTCAAGGTTCACGTCTCGTCTGCGCAATTTCATCACAAGAATAAGTCTCAGTTTTATAAGCACAGTCCCATTAAAGTGCTGTGCAATAAGTGCCAATGAGTTAAAAAAGTAAATGAAATTAGAACGGATTAATTACCACATGTTTTTAGTGAAAGGAACAGAACACACAAACACAGAGAAGGAGGTGACTTTACGATACTAAATATACAAGGGGTCAGAGGTCACACATACAGTACGAGGGGTCGGAGGTCACACGTACAGTATGAGGGGTCGGAGGGCACACATACGAGGGGTCGGAGGTCACACATACGAGGGGTCGGAGGGCACACATACGAGGGGTCGGCGGTCACACATACAGTGCGAGGGGTCGGAGGTCACACATACAAGGGGTCGGAGGTCACACATACAGTATGAGGGGTCGGCAGTCACACATACAAGGGGTCGGTGGTCACACATACGAGGGGTCGGAGGGCACACATACGAGGGGTCGGAGGGCACACATACGAGGGGTCGGAGGGCACACATACGAGGGGTCGGAGGTCACACATTCAGGTTTCCAGCAGCAGAAGACTCATCCAGGTTTGTTGTACAGTCTGACAGTTGAAGAAATAAAGGATCTCTTGAAACGTTCCGTTCGGCAGCGTAGTGATAGGAGCCTGTTGCTACGGTTACTTCTCTGAGCAGCCATAGTGTTATGATCAGCCTGAGCCGGTTACTGTCTCTGAGGTCAAGCTGCCCCCAACACGCAACCCCGAAGAACACGGCACAAGCTACAGACTGCCCCCAACACGCAACCCTGAAGAACACGGCACAAGCTACAGACTGCCCCCAACACGCAACCCTGAAGAACACGGCACAAGCTACAGACTGCCCCCAACACGCAACCCTGAAGAACACGGCACAAGCTACAGACTGCCCCCAACACGCAACCCTGAAGAACACGGCACAAGCTACAGACTGCCCCCAACACGCAACCCTGAAGAACACGGCACAAGCTACAGACTGCCCCCAACACGCAACCCTGAAGAACACGGCACAAGCTACAGACTGCCCCCAACACGCAACCCTGAAGAACACGGCACTAGCTACAGACTGACTCCAACACACAACCCCGAAGAACACGGCACTAGCTACAGACTGGTTAAAAAAATTTGCAACACTTGACTGCTCACATCGCAGGACCTCAGTCGGCTCAGGAAGAAACTCTGCTCTGATCTGACTCCCAGTCCAGTCTGTGGTCCAGGTGGACTCCCAGTCCAGTCTGCGGTCCAGGTGGACTCCCAGTCCAGTCTGTGGTCCAGGTGGACTCCCAGATATTTATAGGCGTGAACCACTTTGACGTCCTGTCCTTTTACGGTCGATGAGAAGAGCTCCTGTGAAGGTTGATGATCATCTCCTTGGTCTCGGACGCATCGAGAATCAGTACATTTCTCTCTCTCCAGTCTGAGAATCCGGAGCACCTGGAGGAAACCAGAGAAGACACGGGGAGAATATGCAAACACTCTGAAAAATCCTGTTCCCACCGGGATTCGAGTCCTTGGTGCTGAGAAGCGAGAGGGCTAACCACTCAGCCACTGTGTCGCCCAAATATGAACTTCTGAACATCCCACATTTCTTTTGTTGCGATTATTTTTACCCATAATTCTACAGACAACCACAACATACGATACATGTTAAATAATAAAAGCTCTTTAAAATACGTCGGAGACAATCCGACGTGTCCGACTCAGATCCAGGGTCTGGTTTTGCAGAGAGTTGGCCGAGAGTCAAAGCTTCTTAGTGTTGGTTTCATGGCTTCGTTTCCAAACATATTCTTCTTCACACTCATCGAAAACACCAGTTATTATTATCTAAAGTCGGTGTGAAGACCAGACGGGACAGAAATAGGCCTCGCTCTGGTCCGTGTGGAGACAGAGCCTGTTGCTAGGCATAAGCTTAACATTGTTGAATATTATTTATACTTTAGTCGAGAAAATCAGAGGAATTAGTCACTGTGGAAAAGTACATTTATTTTTATAGCACAATTCATACAGAAGGGAACGCAAAGAGCAGAACAAGAGAGACCAGAGAGAGAGAGAGACCAGAGAGAGAGAGAGACCAGAGAGAGAGAGAGAGGCTAGAGAGAGAGACCAGAGAGAGAGAGAGACCAGAGAGAGAAAGAGAGGCCAGAGAGAGAGAGAAAGAGACCAGAGAGAGAGAGAGAACAGAGAGAGAGAGAAAGAGAGGCCAGAGAGAGAGAGAAAGAGACCAGAGAGAGAGAGAGGCTAGAGAGAGAGACCAGAGAGAGAGAGAGACCAGAGAGAGAAAGAGAGACCAGAGAGAGAGAGAAAGAGACCAGAGAGAGAGAGAGAACAGAGAGAGAGAGAAAGAGACCAGAGAGAGAGAGAAAGAGACCAGAGAGAGAGAGAGGCTAGAGAGAGAGACCAGAGAGAGAGAGAGACCAGAGAGAGAGAGAGAGACCAGAGAGAGAGAGAGAGACCAGAGAGAGAGAGAGAGAGGCCAGAGAGAGACAAGAGAGACCAGAGAGAGAGACCAGAGAGAGATAGAGACCAGAGAGAGAGAGAGAGGCCAGAGAGAGAGAGAGACCAGAGAGAGAGACCAGAGAGAGAGAGAGGCCAGAGAGAGACCAGAGAGAGAGAGAGAGAGAGAGGCTAGAGAGAGAGACCAGAGAGAGAAAGAGAGGTCAGAGAGAGAGAGAGAGAGAGAGAGGCCAGAGCGAGACCAGAGAGAGAGACCAGAGAGAGAGAGAGGCTAGAGAGAGAGACCAGAGAGAGAGACCAGAGAGTGAGGCTAGAGAGAGAGACCAGAGCGAGAGAGAGAGGCCAGAGAGAGAGAGAGAGGCTAGAGAAAGAGACCAGAGAGAGACCAGAGAGACAGACCAGAGAGAGAAGCCAGAGAGAGAGACCAGAGAGAGAGAGAGAGATCAGAGAGAGAGAGAGGCCAGAGAGAGAGACCAGAGAGAGACCAGAGAGACAGACCAGAGAGAGAGAGACCAGAGAGAGACAGAGAGAGACCAGAGAGAGACAGAGAGAGACCAGAGAGAGGCCAGAGAGAGGCCAGGAGAGAGAGACCAGAGACAGACCAGAGAGAGACAGAGAGAGACCAGAGAGAGACCAGAGAGAGACCAGAGAGAGACTAGAGAGAGACTAGAGAGAGACCAGAGAGAGACCAGAGAGAGACCAGAGAGAGACCAGAGAGAGGCCAGAGAGAGGCCAGAGAGAGACCAGAGAGAGACCAGAGAGAGACCAGAGAGAGGCCAGAGAGAGAGAGACCAGAGACAGACCAGAGAGAGACAGAGAGAGACCAGAGAGAGACCAGAGAGAGACCAGAGAGAGACCAGAGAGAGACCAGAGAGACCAGAGAGAGACCAGAGAGAGACCATGGTTGCATAAGTTCAGGCAGACATTTTAATCGGTCGTGGAAGTCGACGCCTGCAGCTGTAGATTGTTATTTATGAAAATAGAAATGAAGACGGACGTGTCGGAGCAGGATTGAGCGAGCGCAGGTCACGAGTCAACGAGAGCAAACTGATCTTTAACTGATCTTTAACTGATCTTTAACTGATCTTTAACTTCAGCACAGCTCTTTATGCAGCAGAGAACACACATCTCTGCTTTTGTTATACATGTTTAGGCTGTTTTCAGGTTCATTGGAGACAGAGAAAAACAGCAAACTGAAGGATCCGGGTCATCGAGCTGAAGTTCACTAACACCGCTGTCAGTCTGTATTTAGAACTCAACTGTGAACAACTGTTATCTTTACAAATAGAGGAGACAAAATAATCGTTTTTTGTCTTACTGTGGGGAAATTCCAGTGTTGCAGCTTACGTACAGGACCGAACAGAGAACGGTATTTTCAAATTTTATCAAAACCTTTTGGAAAGAACTGTTTTTCTGCCTCTAAAACTAAAGTATTTCCACATTAGTTTAGTGCGTTAGACCTCGTCATGTTAGAGACAGATCTGGATCTAAAGCATTACACAGCGACAGAGAGACCAGAGAGAGACCAGAGAGAGACCAGAGAGAGACCAGCGATAGTAGCTCAGTTGGTAGAGCACTGGTCTTTGGAGCTAATGGTCGTGGGTTTCGAGTCCACCACGACACATGTCACCTGCTCCCACTGATGTCTGCTGCTGTGGTGTCCCTGGGCAAGACACTTAACCCCACACTGTCTGAAGCCCCCGCTGAAAGACCAAGGCCATGTCTTCGATCACGGAGAAGCTTTCTTCCTGTGGACCCACCACCTGCAGGAGGATCAGAGGGACTGGTCTCTCTCTGGTCTCTCTCTCTCTGGTCTCTCTCTGGTCTCTCTCTGGTCTCTGTCTCTCTGGTCTCCCTCTGGTCTCTCTCTCTCTGGTCTCTCTCTGGTCTCTCTCTCTCTCTGTTCTCTCTCTGGTTTCTCTCTCTGGTGTCTCTCTGTTCTCTCTCGGTTCCCTCTCTGGTCTCTCTCTCTCTCTCTGTTCTCTCTCTTTGGTCTCTCTCTCTAAAAACATGAACAATATAGTTCTGGCATGCGTCTCCAGTACTGGCCCCTCCCATCTCTGTGTGGAGTGAGAGACAAATGCCCAAAAATAAGAATTGTAAACCGCTTTGTGACTCTGGTCTGTGAAAGGCGCTATATAAATAAACATTACTTACTTACTACTCTTTAGCGCCCCCTGGCTGCCTTTGCCTCTTTTGCGCCCCCTTGCTGCCTTTGCCTCGTGAGCGCCCCCTGACTGCCTCTGTCTCGTGAGCGCGCCCTGGCTGCCTCTGTCTCGTGAGCGCCTCCTGGCTGCCTATGCCTCTTTAGCGCCCCCTGGCTGCCTCTGCCTCTTTAGCGCCCCCTGACTGCCTCTGCCTCGTGAGCGCCCCCTGGCTGCCTCTGCCTCTTTAGAGAGAGACCAGAGAGAGACCAGAGAGAGACCAGAGAGAGAGCCCAGAGAGAGAGGCCAGTGAGAGAGACTGTGGGAAAAAATAGTGTGAAATCTAAGGAAGGTTCACAATCCACTGCCCAGGACTGAGGCTGTAGTTTCAGGACTGAGGCTGTAGACCCAGGACTGAGGCTGTAGATCCAGGACTGAGGCTGTAGTTTCAGGACTGAGGCTGTAGACCCAGGACTGAGGCTGTAGACCCAGGACTGAGGCTGTAGACCCAGGACTGAGGCTGTAGGTCCAGGACTGAGGCTGTAGGTCCAGGACTGAGGCTGTAGATCCAGGACTGAGGCTGTAGATGCATTATTATTATCATTATCATTAAAACCATCAGCAGTATCTATTGTCTCTCTTCTGTTGCTGTGACCCAGACCCCACTTGCTCCTTGTGCCATTTACCCCCAATTAAAAGAGAAAGAAAACACACAGACACACACAGACGCACACACACACAGACACACACACACACAGACACACACACACACAGACGCACATACACACAGACACACAGATGCACACACACACAGACACACACACACACACATGCAGACGCACACACACGCACACATGCAGATGCAGACGCACACACACACACACATGCAGATGCACACACACACACACACAGACACACACATGCAGATGCAGACGCACACACACACACACACACACATGCAGATGCAGATGCACACACACACACAGACACACACATGCAGATGCAGACGCACACACACACACATACACACACATGCAGATGCAGACGCAAACACACACAGATACACACAGACACACTCACACACATGCAGATGCAGATGAGGACGCACACACACACAGACGCACACACACACAGACGCACACACACAGACGCACACACAGACACACACACAGACGCACACACACACAGACGCACACACACAGACACACACACAGACGCACACACACACAGACACACACACAGACGCACACACACACATCGCCCCCCGTCGCACTCTCAATTATGATTTACAGCTTTTTAATGTGGTCATAAGTCGGAGCTCTCATTAGACCCAGCGACGCCGAATGAAAGATTTTAAATTGGAAACTCCATTTGAAGAATTACAGCGAGAGAAATGTGTGTGTGTCACTGCAGCAGACGTGTGACATCACCACGGAGCTTCCAGAGTCCACTGCACCAGACTCGAACCGGACTCAGACCAGACTCACACCAGACTCGAACCGGACTCAAACCAGTCTCGCAACAGAGCCGAGAAAGTCTATAATAAAAATGATAATAATGCATTGGTTTTGTACAGTGCTTTTTTGGACTCTCAAAGACGTGTTTAAAGCATTCACTCTCTCCAAACACGGCCACGGCTGCCCTGGGGCACTGTCACAGAAGCGAGGCAACCAGTCTGTGCCATCGGCCCCTCCCACCTGTCTGTATCACGATATGCTAAGAATCACACTAATATTGAAGTGTGGCCAACAATGCCATGGTTTACGTTTATTTCTTGTGTTATTTTGCATTCTGTTGCTCCGTGTCTTTAGTTGTACTTCCTGTTTCCTGCCCCGCCCTCATGTGTGTCACCTGTGTCTCATCAGGTTTGTGTTTAAACCCTGTGTCTGTGAACGTCTGTTTCACTTCTTTGCATTTTTGGTGTCCTTGTTTTTCACCCATGTGGTCAAAATATCCCAATACTGTCGAGTCCCCAATCCCCAGCCGTCCCAGACCAGGAGTCACGCAGGTTGACGTTATTATAGTCTCTCGCACCTCTCCTCACAGTCCACCAAAGCTGATCTCTAAAGTCAGATGTGGTTCCTGTGGCTCTGCTTTGTTCCGCTGACTCCTCACCGGCTGCAGATGCTCCACAGATGGCAGCTCCGCTCTGCCTTTCACGCCATTAGGCAGAATGACGGCCAGGGTCACGCCGTCCAAGGACATCTCCACGCCGGATTTACAGCAGCTTAAAAACCGTGTGTGTGTGTGTGTGTGTGTGTGTGTGTGTGTGTACCTCAGACAGAAGCAGATGGATATATAACAGTAGCATATGACCATATATTATATAGAGAGAGGTTACAATTTAGGTTCAAATACAATTTATACTAAAACTACCCGGTCCTCGTTCAACACTTTTTCTTCAAACAAATATTCCTCATGAGCAAACACTCATTCACACACACACACACACACACACACACACACACACACACACACACACTCGGCCTGATCTCCACTGGATGTGATGCTGATTGGAGCCTGGTGTCTCTCTTTGTCAGATCTCTGTGTGTTATTGGTGCCTCAGAAGCTGGAGCTGGTGTGTGTGATACTGGTGTGTGTGATGCTGGTGTGTGTGATGCTGGTGTGTGTGATGCTGGTGTGTGTGAGCAGATCTGTGGGACCTCAGTCTTAACCCGGCTCAACAGAAATGACAGAAACACGCCAAACAGTTGCCAATTGAAATCATGTTTATTAATAACCAAAGTAAATATTTTTGAGGTGTGGAAGTCTGTAGTGAGTGTGTGCGAGTGTATGTGCTGTGAGAGTCTGCAGTGTTGAATGGTGTGTAGACAATAAACCACCAAGGAACCGAACCAAAGCTAACCAAACCAAACCAAACCAGGGTCTACGGCCTGTTACCGGCTGTAAGACCACTGACTCTCCGCAGACTCTGATGCTGTGAAAGCCCTGATGTGGAGAGAGAGAGGAGCCGCATGTAGATCTGCTGTCTGACCTGGATTAGCTCCTGTTTTTCTCAGTCTAAAATGTGTTTGTGTTTGTGTTGCAGGAGTGCGGCGGCCCCCGGAGCTGGAGAAGACTAGTCACAGCGTCCACTACACGCTGCTGATCGCCTGTGTGCTGGTGGCCTTCGTCCTGGGAGCCTTCCTCTCTGGGTTCCTGGTCTCCTGTTACTGTAACCACACAGGACACAAGACCAAGAAGCTGACCAAAGACCCCGAGGCCCCCATCCCACACGCCCTCTCCCTGCGCAGCCTGGCTAAGCTCAACGGTCTCCTGGACAGTCAGAGTAAAGACGACAAGATGGAGGTGTCCTCCCCAAAGATCTACAACTCTCTGTTCGGCAGCAAAGAGCACCACCTGCAGCGCAGGAACCATCACGCCGTGACCATGGGCGACCTCATGCACTCGCACCATCACCACCTGCACCACTCCTCAGAGCTGTCCGGACTGCCCACTCCAGACTCCACCCCCGAGCTGCCCATCAAGAGCATGAAGGCTTTCAAGAACCAGTGGGAGAAGAACCAGAACTGCAACAACGCCAAAGACAAGTGTGCTCTGTCCCGGCCCAGCTCCGCCATGCTGCCCCAGCAGGTCTTCTCCTACAGTCTGTCCAACGGCCTGCACCCAGACGACCGCAAGATCCACAACGTGGAGCGAGTGCTGTCCCAGCCCTTCTCCTCGTACCCTCAGAAGGTCATGGAGGTCACTTCTCTGGACGAGCTCCTCAAACACATCCATGAGGGGGGCAGCAGCAGTAAGCCCACCCAGCTTATGAGCCCCTCCAGCCTCATGGCCAGTGGAGGAGCAGGGCAGCTGGCCTTCTCCAACCGCATCCAGCCGCAGATCCCAGAGACTGAGTCTGCGGCGTACTACAGCTCGTCCACTCTGCCACGGGACAGCCTGACCAGGCGCATGGACGTCCCCCCAGACATCCCCACCCATCAGTCTACTCTGGAGAGAAGACACGCCTCCCAGAGGCACTCGCTGCTCACTGCAGCCAGCAAGATGGTGGCCAACGGAGGGGGAGTGATCCCCCGCCAGCCCAGCTTCAGCAGGAGCCCTCACCAGCCCCCGCCTCATTTGGCCCGAATGAACTCCACAGGGAGCGGCTGCGAGGTCCACTACCCCCTCATCCCTAACGGCTACCTGTCCCGCCAGCACAGCTACGCAGGGGACCAGGACATGTCCCACAGAGGAGCCATGGTGCGCCGGGCCACCTCCCTCAAACCAGACACTCCCCCAAAGCCCCTGTTCATCCCAGCCTCCTCTCCTGTCAGCCAGCCTGGGAAGTTCAACTACTGAGGCCTCAGCAGCTCCGGGACTCTCTGTTAGAGGACCTGCTTGAGGTCTGACCTCAGGTCTAAGTGGTCACATGACCCAGTGTGAGCCTCAGCTGAAGATCCTCTGTTTGTGCAGCACATATCTCTGTACCATATTGGTATTGCTGACCTCCTGCTTTACTACAGACTGGGACGGCACGGCGCCTCCTTTAAACTGCCAACTGTGGATTTATGAAACCACTGAGTTTGGACGAAGAACTTTGTGATAAAGACTTCAGGACCCTGCGCCGCTTGGATACTTGCTTTTGCTTCACATGATGTAGTGTTGGAGCAGGCCGCCCTCCTCTGGTGTGTTCTATTATGCATGTGTGTGTGTATATGTGTGTGTTTAGAGCCACACCGTATATGTATACATATACATATGCAGTCTGTGCAAGTCGTGACCCATGAGTAGTTAGGCTTTATTAATAACCTCTCATCTTTGGGCATTTCAAACTTCCCCCACAACAAATTTAGCCAGGGCCTCCGGGTTATGCACTCCATTTGCCAAAGTGTGTGTGAGGGAAGGCGGATGTGGAGGCGAGGAGCAGGTCAGCGTGGGTCAGGAGCGGGTCAGGAGCGGGTCAGGAGCGCTGAGGAGATGGGTTTGGACCAGCGTCAGACGGTGCATTACTGTGTGAGAGAAGCTTCCAAACACAGGATGGAAGCGTCTGCGACCCGCTTTGTGTGCTAATGGTTGTAAATAAAGGAATAACTACTAGCCAAATTTTACCTGTATGTGTTACATGTGTGCCTTATTTAAGACAGAGGTGAGGGCGAGGCCGGGGCGAGGCCGGGGCGAGGCCGGGGGCGAGGCCGGGGCGAGGCCGGGGCGAGGCCAGGGTCACGTGTTTTACCGCTGTCTGTTCTGTTTTATACTTAACACTGGAACTCCCACAGCAGTCAATTTAACGACTTTTTGGTTTTGGAAGAGTAATAACTCAAGCTAAAGTACCTTTCTGGTTTTTATAACTGTTTGACTTTAGCTGTGTCTAAACTTTGTTTTTTCTGTCATTACTTTTATGAAATTATGGATATTTTTTTTACTGTGAGTTCCACCTCTTGTTCATGTAGAAAACAGTTGTAGCCATTTCTGATCACATGGCACCCAACATCCTGCTTCTCCATGTTGGTTCTGGTTCTGGTCCTGGTTTTAGACTGGTCCTGGGATAGTCCTGGGGTGGTCTTTGGCTGGTTCTGGTTCTCTAGACCAATCCTGGTTCTGAGCAGAATCAGCTTGTTCTGAGAGTGCTTGAGACCATAGTACCACACTGTTTGCTTGCTAGCAGTTAGCATTAGCATCTCAACAATAGTTCAACCCATAGAACCCAGAAAGACACACATTTGTTGTAAAAAATCATCTGTGCTAGTTTTGGGAAGCAGTATTTCATGACCAAATTTAGCAATGTAGCATATTAGCTTCTTTGGGTTTGTGGGTTCATACATTAGTTCAAAGTCAGACTTTTTTTTGCCAAAACCTTTTAACTTCATGTTGTATATTTGTAACTAAGGTTGCTACGGGTTAAAGGTAAAAACCTAATAATTAAGAAAGTATTTCATTATTGTCATACAGCAGAAGAAAACAAACAAGATACATAAGCTAAAAACATTCATTTTTGTTGTTATTGTTTCAGATTTCTATTGATATGAATGTGAGCCGTCAAAATGACTGTTTGGGGAGTTCCAGTAGTTCCAACATTCTAGGAATCCTGGTGTTAACAATGTGTCTTGAGGAAAGTGAAGGGTCTCGCTCCAGCCAAACGTTAGCCAAACGTTAGCCAAACCAAACGCCACTTTCCCCACGGATCTGAACTGTGAAAATTTTTCTACATATCATAACGAGACGACAGTATTTTACTACTACTTGTTTGGAGTGAGACCCTTCATCTGTGTCTTGTTTTACCCACGTCCCTGAAGTCTGACCTCTCTCTTCTGTTAATCACCAAATACACCGTTAATCTCATCTTTAACCCATGTTTTCTGGGTCACAACATTACGTCTGCTGTCGTGGGTTATGGCCAACATATGGGGTTTACATTGGACAGGAGCAAAGAAAGCCTAATTTTAAGTTGTTTTTTAAATCAAGCAACCCAGTTCTGCCAACCGCCTGTTAGCTAACCTGCTCCAAATCGCTAACCTGAACCTCTATAATCACTCTCCGACTCCTGTCTCCTTCGAAGCTAAAATTAAACATGGATGCTTAGTGGATGACCGGGATGGGGGAGATTCAAGCCCTTCATATTATTCAAAGACATTACAAACATGGAAAATAGGACGCTATTTTTAATTATATTCGAAATGATGTCACATATAACTAATCTATTTAACTGGGCTTGAATCAAGAAACGAGAAAAACACATTCATAAATGACTCAAATTTCTGTGAAAATCCTTTGGACACATTTCAGAATCCATTAATCCAACACGCAGCGAGTGACCGGTGCGGAAAACAATTTGAGCAGCTCTACAAACTCCACGCATGAGCGCTTTCTTCCACACTCCCAGTATTTACTGCATCTCATCGCGTTGTTTATCGATTCAGATTTCCCCAAAGTGCAGCGGCTCTAAACGAAAGCTTTTAAAAATGGCCGCAAGGTTTGTTTTAGCTCTTCAAAACAACAACATATTTGGGGATTTCCAGAGAGCGTGGAGGAGGAGGGTCGTGGAGGAGGAGGGTCGTGGAGGAGGAGGGTCGTGGAGGAGGAGGGTCGTGGAGGAGGAGGGTCGTGGAGGAGGAGGGTCGTGGAGGAGGAGGGTCGTGGAGGAGGAGGGTCGTGGAGGAGGAGGGTTGTGGAGGAGGAGGGTCGTGGAGGAGGAGGGTCGTGGAGGAGGAGGGTCGTGGAGGAGGAGGGTTGTGGAGGAGGAGGGTCGTGGAGGAGGAGGGTCGTGGAGGAGGGGGGTCGTGGAGGTGGGGGGTCGTGGAGGTAGCAGCTAACGGTGACACCAGCGCACAGGCATAGGGTCTTGGGTCTGAGTTGGTGTATATACATTCTTCCTGGTGGGCTCCATAGGGTCAGTGTTCTGTTGTTATGATTTTCAGGACAGAATTCCAACAAACCTGGATTCTTCAAGATTTGGTCTGACAGAAAAACCATTGTATGTCTCTTATACAGGAATAAACTGAAATTATGATGCAAGCCGCCGTCTGAGTCATCTTTTTCATGATTGTCCTCCATTAAAGTAGCAATATGTAAGATTTTCATGTCAAGTCATCTTTAAAGGGCCCTAATCTGTCATCATTAAAGGGCCCTAATCTGTCATCATTAAAAGGCCCTAATCTGTCATCATTAACTCACTGACTGCCAGGCATTTTCAGATTTGAGAAGTGCATTCTGCCAGCAATTTCAGGTGATTTGACCCAACTTTGAAGTGCCACAGAATATTCATTTTTTAGACAATGTAAACACCAAGGGCACCAAATTAAAGATTCACCTCTCTGCTTTACTCTGAAAAAAACAGTTTGTTTCTACCTCTTACCGTTCTTGCGTTATTCGCCATAGAACAAAGCATACTTTCACCCATAACACCTGGTCTGAGCAAGAAAACAGAGAAAACGAGCTGTATGTAAACAGGAACATATCAAGCAGAAAAGTGACTTATAGATGCATTTTTGCTGCTTTAGTGACAACTCAAAACATCTTCACACTTGTTCCATTACAAAAATTATAAAAACATGACTCTGAAATAATACTTTTGATGGCAAATTGTTGGCAATTTATTCACAGATAGAAAATTTAACTTTCTTCTATACCATCAACCAAAACGTCAAACAACAACAACACAAAGATCAATAAAACTATAGATGTATAAAATAGAATGAAGCATGTGAATTTGAGTGTGTGTGTGTGTGTGTGAATGTCAGTGTGCGAGTGAGTGTCTGTGTGAGTGAGTGTCTGTGTGCGTGAGTGAGTGAGTGAGTGCGTGTGAGTGTTTGTGAGTGTGTCCGATAAATCATGATCAGGTTTGCTGAACGAATCCGAGGCATCAGTAACAGCAGCAGCTGATACGCTGCGAGAGGCGGAAGGTGTGTCCCTGCTCCGGGCTCTTGCTCCGCGCAAATGTGGCTGCAGAGACGGACCTCCACCGGGGTCTCCGCTCTCTCCCCTCTCGACCTCACTCACTGATCCGCGAGTCAATCTCTGAAGCAGTGTCAACTGCTTATAACTATTCTTTTTCGCCATCACTCTTACTATACTATCGCTAAACTAGATCGCTGATCCGTCTCAATGTTACGCTATCATCGCTCGCTCTGCTACAGCACCACGCTCTCCAAAGACCCCACACTCCTCCTCCTTCTCTCCACTGACCTATGACCTCTCCTGTGGTGCAATACTGCATCCTACTGGTGTTGATTTATCATTACAGGTACATTTGCACTGTATATCAGTATTGTGGGTCATTCACAAGGTGCGCCAGACATTACTGCAGCCTCCCGTGTAATAACACAAAAAACTCGTCAAACTCGTCATGGGCAGTGAGCGTTACTATTCAACATGACGACTTTTGTCGTCATGGGCAGTGAATGAGTTAAAGGGCCATAATCTGCCATCATTAAAGGGCCCTAATCTGTCATCATTAAATGGCCCTAATCTGTCATCATTGACAGGCCCTAAATCTGTCATCATTGACGGGCCCTAATCTGTCATCATTAAAGGGCCCTAATCTGTCATCATCAAAGGGCCATAATCTGTCATCATTAAAGGGCCCTAATCTGTCATCATTGACGGGCCCTAATCTGTCATCATTAAAGGGCCCTAATCTGCCATCATTAAATGGCCCTAATCTGTCATCATTAAAGGTCCCTAATCTGTCATCATTGACGGGCCCTAATCTGTCATCATTAAAGGGCCCTAATCTGTCATCATTAGAGGGCCCTAATCTGCCATCATTAAAGGGCCCTAATCTGTCATCATTTAAGGGCCCTAATCTGTCATCTTTGAAGGGCCCTAATCTGCCATCAATAAAGGGCCCTAATCTGTCATCATTGACGGGCCCTAATCTGTCATCATTAAATGGCCCTAATCTGTCATCATTAAATGGCCCTAATCTGTCATCATTAAAGGGCCCAAATCTGTCATCATTAAAGGGCCCTAATCTGTCATCATTAAAGGGCCCTAATCTGTCATCATTAAAGGGCCCAAATCTGTCATCATTAAAGGGCCCTAATCTGTCATTATTAAAGGGCCCTAATCTGTCATAATAATAAACTGCTCTTTCCCAATACTTATTTAACTGATAACAGTAGTTCAGAGATATTTGAATTTCTAAAATACTTTTCCAGGCTCTAAATCTTGTTATTGTTTTCATTTCAATGTCCCGCCCTCCACCGTTTCACCAATCAGAAAGTCTGCGATTCGGGCGCCAGAACTCACCGTGTGGAGCTAATCTCACTGGTAAAGTACCATGTGGCGCAGAACTAAAAAAGGTCTCGTTATGATTCTCAAATCATTAACGACAAAACAAGGAATAAAACCAGGATTTCTATCTTTGTGAAAATGGTGTTGGTTATAGATTTGTTGACTGACTAAATAGATTGTCTATTCAGCTGTTATGGTCCCAGCTGGATTCGTCTGCATATCTGGCAACCTGAGTCAGGGAGAGTGGGAGAGGCTGTAGTACCACTTTTGGACAGATTTGTACAGACTGCTCCTTCGATTCAAGTCAATGTATTTGTGTACAGTCCTAAATCACAGTAGGACTAACAATAGGACACAGATCAGAGAATCAAACGGTTCAGATACCTTTACAAACATATGAAGTCTAGATTACTGAGCTACTGCAAAGATTGAATCATGATTTGGACTTTTGCCACTTCAGCATCGACGCCTTCATTAATACTTGACTTAAATCTCATCTCGTGGAGCAGCCACCAGTGAAATTGAGTCGGACAGTGTTCTGCCAGAGCCATCAGTCAAGTCCAAGCAGACAGGACTCACGGAATATTCTCCTCCGGCCATCGCAGCTGTATCTGTACGGAGCAGTACGCACAACGGCCAGCAGGGGTCCCTAGCACGTCCATGAAAACTCACCTTACTCCCCCCTCTCTCTCTGCTTCTCCCACTTCCTCCTCTGGGCTGTTTATGCCATGGATGTGGAGGGTGTTGCTGCTTAACCACATGGACTAGAGGCCACCAGTGGTACTGCAGCCTAAATCCACTGATTTCTGAGATTTCTCCACAGACCTCAGTCCTGGGTCTACATCCTCAGTCCTGGGTCTACAGTCTCAGTCCTGGGTCTACAGCCTCAGTCCTGGGTCTACAGCCTCAGTCCTGGGTCTACAGTCTCAGTCCTGGGTCTACAGCCTCAGTCCTGGGTCTACAGCCTCAGTCCTGGATCTACAGCCTCGGTCCTGGATCTACAGCCTCAGTCCTGGGTCTACAGCCTCAGTCTTGGATCTACAGTCTCGGTCCTGGATCTACAGCCTCAGTCCTGGGTCTACAGCCTCAGTCTTGGATCTACAGTCTCAGTCCTGGATATACAGCCTCAGTCTTGGATCTACAGTCTCAGTCCTGGATATACAGCCTCAGTCTTGGATCTACAGTCTCATTCCTGGATCTACAGCCTCAGTCCTGGGTCTACCGCCTCAGTCTTGGATCTACAGCCTCAGTCCTGGGTCTACAGCCTCAGTCCTGGATCTACAGCCTCGGTCCTGGGTCTACAGCCTCAGTCCTGGATCTACAGCCTCAGTCCTGGATCTACAGCCTCAGTCCTGGGTCTACAGCCTCAGTCCTCACTTGAAATCCCTTCAGACAGCTGTTATTTTTAAAGAACACCAAACACACAGGACAGTAGTGAGTTATGACGGTCTCAGCCCCGGAGTCTCTGGCCTTTGTAAACAGAAGCATCGTGGCCTCCGCTCGTTCCTCATCCATAGGTCACCTTGTGCACGTCCATTTCTCTGACACTGAAGTATCATTGGCCTCTTGTCTGCGTCTCTTTAAAGCATCACTCCCCAGACAGCAGCAGTGTGTGTCTGCGATAAAACACCGTGGTATTTGGTTCATAGATTTTCATTTCTTCTTCACTTCCTGCTTTTATCTTTTTCTAATTACAGCAGTTAATAATAATAATAATATAAATACGTTTTATACAGTGTTTTTTTGGACGCTTAAAGATATCATTATTCATTCACTCCAAACACAGTGGTGATAAACTACTACCAACCACTCACACACACACCAGACTCATTCTAATGTGGGGGAAGTGTCTTGCCTAAGGACACAACCACAGTTTGGCACTTTACAGCCGCAGCCGCCCCACTGTGGCACCTGCTGTTCTCAGAGGTCTCCCATCACAGCACTAACCAGGCCCTGTCCTGCTTAGCTTCACAGGTCTGACTGGATGTGGCTCTCACCTGCAGGGGGCGCCAAACTTTAACTCCTAAAACTCCAAATGTTTTTTTGTCAGTGACTGAGATGCACTATTCCAGACATTTCACCAGTTTTTGATGAAGTGTGTGTGTGTGTGACATGTGTGTGTTCTTGTGACGTGTGTGTGTGTAACATGCGTGTGTGTGTAACATGCGTGTGAGACATGTGTGTGTTCTTGTGACGTGTGTGAGACTCTCTCTCTCTCTCTCTCTCTCTCTCTCTCTCTCTCTCTCTCTCTCTCTCTCTCTCTCTCTCTCCTCTCTCTCTCTCTCTCTCTCTCTCTCTCTCTCTCACTCTCTCTCTCTCTCTCTCTCTCTCTCTCTCTCTCTCTCTCTCTCTCTCTCTCTCTCTCTCTCTCTCTCTCTCTCTCTCTCTCTCTCTCTCTCTCTCTCTCTCTCTCTCTCTCTCTCTCTCTCTCTCTCTCAAACGGGCAACTCCTGTATCAGGCCAGTCTGGGGAATAACAGCAACTGGTTGCGGGCTCACAATACACGCAATACAAACACGTCGTCGGAGCGGCGCAACTGACTGAAACTGGAGACCGACTGGGAGGGACCACATAGAGAGAGAGAGAGAGAGAGAGAGGCCACAGAGAGAGACCATGGAGATAGGGACCATAGAGAGAGAGAGAGGACAGAGAGAGAGAGAGAGAGACTACAAAGTGAGGGATAGACCAGAGAGACCACAGAGAGAGAGAGAAAAGAGAGGGAGAGAGAATACAGAGATGGGGACAATAGAGAGCGATAGAGACTGCAGAGAGAATCATAAGAGAGAGAGAGACCACAGAGAGAGAGAGAGAGAAAGCAGAGAGAGAGAAAAGAGAGAGACTACAGAGATAGGGACAATAGAGAGAGATAGAGACTGCAGAGAGAGAGATACTGCAGTGAGAGGGATAGACCAGAGAGAGACCATAGAAAGAGAGAGAGGCCACATAGAGAGAGAGAGAGACTTCTCACTCTATCCTTAAGGAAGCGTCTTTCTGCTCAGCTCTCTTCACCACAGCCCGACACAAAACATAGAAATCCCAATAATCAAAACACGTCTCAATCTATTTTCCACCGTTTAAAATCCAGACATTTTCGGTGAAACACGATGAACTTGTTTATTTCCGGTGAGACACTGAACGCACCAAACTCCAGAAGCTTCTCCAAAAACCTTGACACATATTCCCGGTTTGGGCGTCCCACAAACCTCTCTCTCCGTGCGCCGTAAACCTGGATCTAATCTCCACAAACTCAAATGTGGAGCACTCCGAATGCAAATGCACCGATCGCCCCAAATACAGTCCCTGGGAGCCCTCTGTCCCTGTGATCCCCCTGTCCCTGGGAGTCCCCTGTCCCTATGATCCCTCTGTCCCTGGGAGCCCCCTGTCCCTGTGATCCCCCTGTCCCTATGATCCCTCTGTCCCTGGGAGCCCCCTGTCCCTGTGATCCCCCTGTCCCTGGGCGCCTCCTGTCCCTGTGATCCTCCTGTCCCTGGGAGCCCCTGTCCCTGTGATCCCCCTGTCCCTATGATCCCCCTGTCCCTGGGAGCCTCCTGTCCCTATGATCCCTCTGTCCCTGGGAGCCCCCTGTCCCTGTGATCCTCCTGTCCCTGGGAGCCCCCTGTCCCTGTGATCCCTCTGTCTCTGCGATCCCCCTGTCCCTGTGATACCCCTGTCCCTGTGATCCCCCGGTCCCTGTGATACCCCTGTCCCTGTGATCCCCCGGTCCCTGTGATCCCTCTGTCTCGTTGATCCCCCTGTCCCTGTGATACCCCTGTCCCTGTGACCTCTCTGTCCCTGTGATCCCTCTGGCCCTGTGATCCCTCTGGCCCTGTGATCCCTCTGTCTCTGTGAGCCCCCTGTCCCTGTGATCCCTCTGTCCCTGTAATCCCCCTGTCCCTGTGATCCCCCTGTCCCTGGGAGCCCCCTGTTCCTGTGATCCCTCTGTCTCGTTGATCCCCCTGTCCCTGTGATACCCCTGTCCCTGTGACCCCTCTGTCCCTGTGATCCCTCTGGCCCTGTGATCCCTCTGTCCCTGTGATCCCTGTGAAAGTCAGTTTAATGATTCCTAAGTTCCTGTTGTAGTCTGTAGTCTGTATCCTGTAGCCTGTAGTCTGTATCCTGTAGTCTGTAGTCTGTAGCCTGTAGTCTGTATCCTGTAGTCTGTAGTCTGTAGTCTGTAGCCTGTAGTCTGTAGCCTGTAGTCTGTAGTCTGTAGTCTGTAGTCTGTAGTCTGTAGCCTGTAGCCTGTAGCCTGTAGTCTGTATCCTGTAGTCTGTAGTCTGTAGTCTGTAGTTAGACTGTAGTCTGTAGTCTGTAGTCTGTAGCCTGTAGCCTGTAGCCTGTAGTCTGTATCCTGTAGCCTGTAGCCTGTAGTCTGTAGTCTGTAGTCTGTAGCCTGTAGCCTGTAGTCTGTATCCTGTAGTCTGTAGTCTGTAGTCTGTAGTCTGTAGCTGTAGCCTGTAGCCTGTAGCCTGTAGCCTGTAGTCTGTAGTCTGTAGTCTGTAGTCTGTAGTCTGTAGCCTGTAGCCTGTAGCCTGTAGCCTGTAGTCTGTAGTCTGTAGCCTGTAGCCTGTAGTCTGTAGTCTGTAGCCTGTAGCCTGTAGTAGCCTGTAGCCTGTAGTCTGTAGCCTGTAGTCTGTAGTCTGTAGTCTGTAGTCTGTAGCCTGTAGCCTGTAGTCTGTAGTTTGTCAGTTAAGATTATTTTACTACTTTAAAAATAATAATACTTCATAAAAGTCTGAGCAGTGACTTTTTAAGCTTGTTTTAAAGATATGAGGATTTTCTACTTCCGGGTGGATCATCAAGACTATTGGTCGTCCCACCTGTCAATCATTCTGGTGATACGAGCTCGTCCAATGAGAACAGAGAGAGAGAGGGCGGTTCTTTCCTAAAATGTGGGAAATCCTCCTGTACCTGTGAGTATTTGTTCTTATTTCCAGACTTTTCATGTTGTTTGGATCAAATAAGTTTGTTTTGCTCAAAAATGTTTAAGAAATAAGTAAACAATACTTGAAATGTTTGTTTTATTCTAGGATCAAGTCATTTTACTTTAGAATATTCTGGAAACTGGAACTGCTCCACCCAGAGGCTACTCCACCTCTGCTGCTGTGACCTGTCCTGCTCCACCCAGAGGCTACTCCACCTCTGCAGCTGTGACCTGTCCTGCTCCACCCAGAGGCTACTCCACCTCTGCAGCTGTGACCCGTCCTGCTCCACCCAGAGGCTACTCCACCTCTGCAGCTGTGACCCGTCCTGCTCCACCCAGAGGCTACTCCACCTCTGCAGCTGTGACCCGTCCTGCTCCACCCAGAGGCTACTCCACCTCTGCAGCTGTGACCCGTCCTGCTCCACCCAGAGGCTACTCCACCTCTGCTGCTGTGACCCGTCCTGCTCCACCCAGATGCTACTCCACCTCTGCTGCTGTGACCTGTCCTGCTCCACCCAGAGGCTACTCCACCTCTGCAGCTGTGACCTGTCCTGCTCCACCCAGAGGCTACTCCACCTCTGCAGCTGTGACCCGTCCTGCTCCACCCAGAGGCTACTCCACCTCTGCAGCTGTGACCCGTCCTGCTCCACCCAGAGGCTACTCCACCTCTGCTGCTGTGACCCGTCCTGCTCCACCCAGATGCTACTCCACCTCTGCTGCTGTGACCTGTCCTGCTCCACCCAGAGGCTACTCCACCTCTGCTGCTGTGACCCGTCCTGCTCCATCCAGAGGCTACTCCACCCCTGCTGCTGTGACCCGTCCTGCTCCACCCAGAGGCTACTCCACCTCTGCTGCTGTGACCTGTCCTGCTCCACCCAGAGGCTACTCCACCTCTGCTGCTGTGACCTGTCCTGCTCCACCCAGAGGCTACTCCACCTCTGCTGCTGTGACCCATCCTGCTCCACCCAGAGGCTACTTCACCTCTGCTGCTGTGACCCGTCCTGCTCCACCCAGAGGCTACTCCACCTCTGCTGCTGTGACCTGTCCTGCTCCACCCAGAGGCTACTCCACCTCTGCTGCTGTGACCCGTCCTGCTCCACCCAGAGGCTACTCCACCTCTGCTGCTGTGACCCGTCCTGCTCCACCCAGAGGCTACTCCACCTCTGCTGCTGTGACCCGTCCTGCTCCACCCAGATGCTACTCCACCTCTGCTGCTGTGACCCGTCCTGCTCCACCCAGAGGCTACTCCACCTCTGCTGCTGTGACCTGTCCTGCTCCACCCAGAGGCTACTCCACCTCTGCTGCTGTGACCTGAGGCTGTTGCTGAGTGGGCTAGATCATATGTTCTTGTTCTATTAACAGATGATTAGTATGATTTTAGGCAGTATTTTACTTATTATAATATATATATTTGTGTTATTGACTGTAGCAGGTTTGGGATGTAGCGTGTGACGCGGTTAGCTTCACCCTCCAGTGACATTCAGAAGTTAGTTTTTCTTTGTGAACTCAGAGGGAATGAAGCGAGTTACTTTTGCTCCAACAGGCGTCGTCTCTGTTTTAATTCAACTGTAAATCCATCGAGTCTGTACTCACTGGAGCTCTGCGCTGAGCTGCTGCTCCGCAAATGAACCAGATTTTAAGGTAAATACAGAGAAAAAGAAGTGGAGAAGGAAGTCATGAATTATGTATTTGTGCCTCGGACCGGTGGAAAATCAACTCAACTGTATCGTCCTAAATTACAGCAGCAGTTTTCTCTGAGGACTTTACAAAATTGTTGAATTCACCGCCACAGATTAGAGAATCAAACACTTCAAACACAAGGAATAGACTCGTGTCATGGACCTGTGTCAATAAATATCCATAAATGTCCATACACGTTACAGGACACAGTAAGAGGAAGTAGAAAGAAGAATCAAAAGGAAAATGGCAATGGGAGTTTGTTTTAACATTTGTGCCATGCTCGGGTCAAAATGATCCCCCACAAAGATAGAATTGTGTAGAATTATGATGAAAAAGGGTCTAAATGACTCAGGCTGAATAAAATCCTCACAATTCAGATAAAACATGTTTATTTTTCAGTCACTGCAGCGGGTCATTCTGACCCGAGGACAGCACACGGGTTATTCACACAACTGTGTTAAGGGGGAGTATTGTACATGATGTTAGCAGTCGGGGAAACCTCCAGAGAGTCCAGGTCCAACAAACTGATTCTGACGTAAAGTTGAATTGTTGGAACATTCACATTGGATCTTAGGCTGTAAACATCTGCACATGAGTGAGCTGCACGAGCCCAGACAGCCATTCATTCAACAAGGGCATTCAAAAGTCCACAGCGGCCAAACTAGACTGGTCCAAAACAAACCACTCCCCTCAACATCGACAGCATCTGGAACGTAGCTTTGGACCAAGAGCCACTTTTGGACCAAGAGCCACTTTTGGACCAAGAGCCACTTTTGGACCAAGAGCCACTTTTAGACCAAGAGCCACTTTTGGACCAAGAGACACTTTTGGACCAAGATGAATCTTTTTCCAGTCCGACTCCAGCAGAAATGAGTCCGATCCCAGTCCAGCTTTGATCCAGGACCCGCTGTGATGGATCCACTGTGGTCTTCTTCTGCGTTCTGCTCACACTGCGGTGATGTCACACTCTCTGCAGACTGTTGTCAGCCGTGTCCTGACGCTACAGTTCTGCGGCGGCGCTCGCTCCTGTAATCTGGTTAATTGATCTAGTGAAGTGTTCAGAGGTGAAGAGGCAACAGTCACAGGCTTTATGGACTCACTGCTTCTGCTCCATCTATACTGAACTATCTATACTGATCTATCTATACTGATCTCTATATACTGATCTATCTATACTGATCTAACTATACTGATCAATACTGATCTATCTATACTGATCTATATATACTGATCAATACTGATCTATCTATACTTCTCCATACATACTGCTTCATATATACTGATCTATACTGATACATACTGATCTATACTGCTGTCACTAAACTGTCATTTTGTCAGATTAAACAGAGATGTCACTTTTACTCAATTTTAATTGAAGGGAATCTGTTGCTTTGACTTGATACAAATAATACATACGTCCCATTGTTTCATGGGGTCTGGACCTCAGAACTGCTATACAGCCTCAGTCCTGGGTCTACAGCCTCAGTCCTGGATCTACAGCCTCAGACCTGGGTCTACAGCCTCAGTCCTGGGTCTACAGTCTCAGTCCTGGACCTACAGGACTACACACTCTTGTAAAGACATCAAACTACATAAAATACTGGTAGTGTGACGTCATAATGGGCTCATCCTGGAGATTGAAGCGTTATTTGTAGCTGCACACTGACCTCTGCTGGACAGACGCCCTCACTACATGTCATTCCCACTCCCTGAGGCCTGGGTTTCAGACCAGAGGAGGTGGAGAAGACGAGGATGAGAAAATCCCAGAAACACATTAATCAGCAGTTCCTATGGACCATGTGTCCTATGGCCCATGTCTCCTGTGTCCTATGGCCCATGTCTCCTGTGGACCATGTGTCCTATGACCCATGTCTCCTTTGGATCATGTATCCTATGGCCTATGTCTCCTGTGGACCATGTGTCCTATGGCCCATGTCTCCTATGGACCATGTTTCCTATGGCCCATGTCTCCTGTGGACCATGTGTCCTATGGACCATGTCTCCTATGGACCATGTGTCCTATGGACCATGTCTCCTATGGACCATGTGTCCTATGGACCATGTGTTCTGTGGACCCTGTGTCCTATGGACCATGTGTCCTATGGACCATGTCTCCTATGGACCATGTCTCCTATGGACCATGTCTCCTATGGACCATGTGTCCTGTGGACCATGTGTTCTATGGACCATGTGCCCTATGGACCATGTGTTATTATTGCCTGGTTCCAAAACGTTGTGTGTAAAGATGGAGCAGTCATTTTAAATGTGTGAGTCCAAACTGTTGGTTTGAATCCACTTGAGCACAAACAAACAAACAAACAAACAAACAAACAAAGAGATAAAACATGATCCATACGACACATAGTTCAGGGTGACCAGCGTTACCATCAGCTCTTCATGGTTTGACACAGTCGTAAATCAGTGTGAAAGATGTAACACAGTTAATGTCTCTGTACATTTTCATAATAATAATTATTATTATAATGCAAATATTGTGGTATTTAACACGTCTACACCATAGACTGTAAATGTCAAAGGACGCAGTCACGCCAAACTCCGCCGTTGAAGCTAATGTGCCACCACTTTTGCAGTCTATGGGAAGTTTCAAAATGGCCGCGGGGGCTGGAAAATGTGGAAAAAAACCGCATTTGCGCATGTGTCAGCTGCACGGGCATCGGTCATTTAACAAGTGCATTTTAAAGTCCACAGTGGTTAAACTAGACTGGTCCAAAAAAACACACTCCCCTCAGCATCGACAGCATCTGGAGCATATCTTCAGACCAAGAGCCACGTTTGGACCCTCCTGTAAAGATGTTTGAGAGGTAAGAAGATGTCATACATTAGCATTGGCTAATTCTTATCCCGGGTCCACCCCCACTGGCCCGGGGTGGTATTGCAGCATGTCAGTGCACGTCATTTTGGACATTTTTGAGCTGAGACCCGCCCCCACGGGTTTATTGCTTGCTTGCAATCACGTGACGCATAAACTTCCGGTTGACGGAGTGGTGTCAGGACAGCAAGAGTTGCTGCTGATGTGAAGAAAATGCGACTCTTCCAAGTATTTTTTGCTTCCACCACATATTTTGGTAATATCAAGGTTGAAGCTACTGGCACAGCGGTAAATGCTAACATGCTAATAATGCTAATAAGTCTCCATTCCTCCGCTGTATGTCACTTACATTCTGTAACGTCTTAGTTCTGTCTCTACCATCGACAATAAAACATGTCTTCTGTCTGAATTAAAGACAAGATCCTAGACTTTCTTTTTCTTCACTTCTAATCCACAGCTAGTGTTACCATCAAGCTTTTTTTTTCATCAGTTTTGTACATAATAGTGCACAACTCTTTTAACCTTTTAGCCTTATTTGTGAGATTCAAGCTAATTAGTGTTGGGCAAGTTAGCTAACTCTACGTGATATCATAAAACATGCTAACAAGGCTAATATTCGTTTTCACATTATGCCAGTCTCACTTTGCCTTAGATTTATTTACCACAATGTACATATTAATATCCATAAATGCTGACACCTATTAACGGTTTGATTAGCATTTTTATCAATGATTACATCACATGTAGTCTATGTTTTCAACTTCTGCAGCTTTTTGTTCATAAAAGTAAAATATTTATTTAATTCAAGTTATTTTGATTAGCATTTATGGATATTAAAATGTACATCGTGGTAAATAAATCTAAGGCAAAGTGAGACTGGCATAATGTAAACACGAATATTAGCCTTGTTAGCATGTTTTATGATATCAAGTAGAGTTAGCTAACTTGCCCAACACTAGTTAGCTTGAATCTCACAAATAAGGCTAAAAGGTTAAAAGAGTTGCACACTATTATGTACAAAACTGATGAAAATATGTTTATACCTTGTTCAGATGACAGTGAAACCTCCTACAGATTCAGCCCAGACTGCTGCTGCTGTGAGATGCCCTTCCCCTACGTCATCGCCGCCATTTTGGCGCCCCCTAGCGTTTGTGAAAAGGTCCGACTTCAAAGCAGTTTTTTTAACATAATTCATCTGAACATGTCAAAATGAACACCCGAAATATTATAAACACATATTGTAGTTATATATTCTGGATAGCAGCATATTCAATTCTAATACTACTTTAAGGTCCTGAAGGACACATCCTGCATCGTACAGAACCGTGTGAGTAACGATTGGTGAATGAACTTATCATTCTCAACAAAACACTGCGTCTGTGGCTGTGTTCTTTTCAGGTCAAACATTCACAGTGTTTATTTAAAACTCCAACTCATACCTGAGAATGAATTAAATAAAGATAGGGATGTAATAACTGCGCGTTGTTACTGCATGGCTGGGTAAATAAATAATCCTTCGAGGTAAAAGCGTTTGCAGTGAAATGTTAGCGAGACACTTTTCCTGTGTCTTTTTGTAAAGTCCTTAGTGCGAGGCTCTTTATTCATCTCTTCACGAGGAATCCTAAAGTATCCATTAAAGGTTTCACGATTCGATCGGTTAGAAAACTTAAAACAACACATGCAAAAGGCAGATTCAGACACGCTGCTCTAGTGCAGTGTTTTTCAACCACTGTGCCGCGGCACACTAGTGTGCCGTATGATATTGTCTGGTGTGCCGTGAGAAATTCGTCTACTTTGTCTAAAAATAACTGCATTCGCTGTTGACGAGCGGTGACTTGTTTTGAACTGTGGAGTAACCATGTAATACTTTTTCAAATCAGTAGATGGCAGCAGATAGCTAAGTACTTTGAAACTGAAAAATTGGATGCGACCACTGGCTGTAACAGGTCAGCATTGTGGCGAGAAAGGTAAAATTGGATGCGACCAACAAATGTGGGAGGGAGCGAGACAAGAGCTTTGTGGCGAGTGAGAAGTGAAAGTGATAGACGTTTTTGAAAATGAATTATGCCGTTTCTGAACAGGATTAACATCCTCCGCTCTGCCCCGGGGCAGGTGTGGCCGCGTTGTAGTGGTTTAACTATGAAATGTACAATTTTTGTACAACAGCTCTCGCGAACGCACTTCTGAACTGGGTACCGAGCGCAGACCATAGTCGAGTGGACAGAACCATAGACATGCGGACCGGACAGAACCATGGACTCGCGTTCAGGACCTCCCGTGTCCCTCATCCAAAACTCCTGAATTTAAAGCTCGGATACCTAAATTTTTTCCCATGCACTAACAATGCATGTTCTTTGTGTGAGTTATTATTTGACTATTTGGGCAGAGAGTGGATTTTCTTAGTTTTTTTCCACACAGTTAGTGCCACTTTATTCCCAAACTCTTGTTATTTGTATCGAGAAATATTAAATAAAGCTTAATGTCAAGGCCTGGACTTAAGCATTTTGATGAGAATAACTGTATATTGTGAATATAGGCTACAGAGTATACTGTATACATTATAAGATAAGATACGATATACTTTATATATCACACAGAGTATGTACAGTATATATTTTTTTACATTAGTACTGTATACATTTTTACATTTTCTCCTGGAGGTGTGCCGCAAGATTTTTTCAGTGAAAAAAGTGTGCCTTGGCTCAAAAAAGGTTGAAAAACACTGCTCTAGTGAACAACGAGCTCTGCGACCACCGTGATACGCATATGCAATGAGGCGGACCTGACGTCAATTGCAAGCAAGCAATTGATGATGTTGTTGTATTAAAATATACTCTGAACAGATGTGACAATAATTTGACCATTTTGAACGATGGTCCTAATTTTCATCATAGCCAAAAAGACCTGTGCTCTCAGGTCTTAAGTCTCAAGGACACAGGATAAGCAGACAGGAATCATAAAGATAAACTGCTGTTTAAACAAGGCGAATTATTAACTTTAAATAATAAACATTTTCCTGCGCTCTCATAATCATCCTGCGAGAGCAAAAGTTCAAACCACAATCAGGCAGAACAGGGGATTCACCTACGGCAGTGTCTCCCAAAGTGGGGTCCGCGGCCCCCTGGTGGGCCGCGAGGGTACTGCAGGGGGGCCGCGGGAGGTCATAAAAAAAATTAAAAAAATAATATTATTTAATGTTAAATTTATAATGTTTTGTTTGTAATATTAAAATATTTGTGTTCATTATTTGACTTGAATAATCCACTGTAATCATTTTTGTATTACAATGTTTGTAGCAGAGGCTATTTCCCCAAAATAAAATAACCAGAAGAGCCTATTCTTAATGTTGTCTTCTTGGTTATTATTTTGGGGGGCCACGCAGACCCGTCAGATTTTTAAGGGGGCCTCGGTGTTACTGAGTTTGGGAATGGCTGACCTACGGCATTCTGACGCCTCCCAGTGGACAAGGGACGTCAGCACACCCCGAAGCTCCTACCCTTGGGCGCATATGGATGACGTCATCGGAAGTCTCCCTGATATGACCTTCCCCGGGTCTTTTGGTTTTTTCAGTCAGGACAGGGCAAGCATAGGGAGAGAAGGCATAGTTTTAGGAGCTTTTGTTTTAATTTCTGTATCTGATTGTAAAGATAAATTAAATACAGATGTTAAACTTTGAAAATCTTCGTCTTGTTCTCTGCCTCAAACTTGAACACGTCTGTCAAAGGGTTTTTGACATCATTTGGTGACCGCGACGTGATTTGATGCAGGAGGAAGACAAAGACTTGCTCAAGAGATAGACTGGGTTCGTGGGCTTGGGAAATTCTCTCTTCTCTTCGAAAAAGTCGCTTCAAAAGAGGTAAGCAGATTAGACTTTTGAAAATCTGCACATTGTTTTAAATGGAAGAGAGAGAGAATTCGGCTCGACGGACTGCAGGGTGGACAGAC